TACTTTTATATGAATTATCGTAATTTTTTTAATAAAAATATTATCCCTCAGAGAGAACTGGTGGATATGTCAACGTGCAAAAACTTAATTGTCCTTTTATGAGAAATTTTTGCACGATATCAGGATTATTATGGTTTCAATAAATAATAACACAATATGTATATATATTTTATAAAAGAATTAAAAATACTTGACAACATATGAGTGGTTGAAACTATATACTTTTTAACCATTTAAAAAATTATTGCCGTTAACGTAAATATTTTTAAATTTGTAAGATATTATAATAATCACACCAGGCTATTTAGAAAAAGTCTCTTTAAGATGAAGGGAGAATTAATATTTAAATTAAGGTATTATAGGAATATTAATTAAAAAAGTTAATAAAAATTATGAAAAATTATCATTAAAGGTTTATTTAAAATTATAATAAGAGTGTGTTAATAATATTTTTTTAACAAAAAGTTTATAGTTTTAATGTATTGATCAATAACAATTTTCTTTGAGATATTATGCATTTATACACCAATGCTTTATCGGCGAGCAAAAATAAAGACGTGGAATGTCAAAGTAATAAATAAGAAAAACAAAAGATATATACAAATAATAAACTAAAAAAAATAATAAAGATAATTAATATAATTTTAAGAAATTTTTGTTTATGTTTTTTTAATTTGATGATATCCGTATAATGTATCAAAGTTTAGCTATGTCAATGTAAAACTATCCGTATATATGTATAGTTTCAAAGAATCTTTATAAACAAAACTTATATTTACTTTACTAAAAATGAATAGTAACTCAAACCAATAACTTAAATTCATTTGCATTGACAAATGACAATGTATACCAAGATCAATTATTTGTAGCTCCTAACGACATCAACGATATGAATATCTTATTTTTAATGAGCATTCTTTTAAAGTCAGTTATAGTAATATATGATTAAATTGTGCTTTTGCCCTCTAGAGCAACAAAATGCATATCTTACGTTAATGTCAAAAAGGTCTTGAGTAGTAGTGGTGTTATGTGGGTGAATTATGACGCCATTACTGATTATGTCTAGCAAAGGCAAAAGAACAAAGCATTTCTTTTCTAGCAATCAATTCCTTGTTCCTAGTTAAATAAAAATTGCTATGTGTGTCACAGGTTTTATTCCCTTTTAATTTTCCTATTGTAGATTCGCAATAAGCTGCAAATCTTAAATAGGTGCAGATCTATTAAAATTAGTAATATATATTATATTTAAAAATATATTTCTTATTATTAATTAAAATTGATTTGAATTTATAAACAATGTAAGTTTTGAAAGTAAAAGGAGATGGATTTAACAAGTGCTGAAAGACTTTTCCAAATAGAGAAAGAAATTGAAAACATAGATCTCGAAATTACCATTCGACAATATTCAGAGCACCGGCTTCCAATCGATCCGAAAGACGTGGCAAAATGCATGAAAAAGCTTCGAGATCGCATTCGAGATCTTGTTCATAAGAAACAGACCCTTCTTCATGAACGAGAGGAGTTGATTGTGCGAAGTAGCATTAACAATTCTTCCAGAAAATAGTTTGTTGCACAATCCCATTAGCAACTTTTTATATGTTTCAGATCTGTTTATTTATTTTAAAAGAATATTTAAACTTTAATTTTTATAAATTTTAATAAAAAAAATAGTTCATTCTATCTAATATCTGCATAGGGTAAATAAATATATCAGTTTTATAAATAATAAAAAAATAAAAAAAATCTTTTCATTTAAATTTTTTTAAAGATTTACACTATAATGAAAATATCATATTCCTAAAATAATATTTAATAAAACTCACTCATACTTGTATGAATTTTAATTAATAGTAAAATTTATATTTAAAATAATGCATTAAACAATATATTGATGATTCTTTTAAAATTGTTCTCGTGAAATTATACATTTTCTTTGTGTTTAATTTACTTTTAAAAAAAGTAAGGGTTGATTTGGAATTTCTTGATTATTTAGGTTAGAATTACTTGCCAGTGTTTTGCTATCAAAAGGGCTTGTTTAATTAATAAGATATGCTAAAATAGTAGAATTTCATAATAATATATGATAAAAATAGAATCTATTATGTATATTAAAATAATAAATTAGGAGATAATAAAAAAAATAAATTAAATGTAATATGTTATCTTGTTTTTATTTGTTTTTTAATTAGATTATTATACACAACCAAATCTATACTAAAAACATAATAAAACATGCATATAAGATAGAGTCATCTTATCATGTTAGTTAAACAAAAACACAATAGATAGAGAGAGAGAATCCTATTTTGTTATCATTTCCACTGAACAGGCCATAAAATTTAAGCTTCTAAAGCCTGTTTTACAACAAGCTTGTCTTGATTCGCATGCATATTACATACGTAGACAGAAATTAGAGCCAATATCCTTCACCCCCCAAGTCCCAGAAAATAACTATCGAACTTCCCTATATATTTGAATATTTCTTAAGCAAGTAGAAGCGTTTGTAACTGCCATTACAATAAGATGGTGTTTTTTTTTTTATTTTATTGTGCGTGCTTGTTCTTCTAGCTAGGTTTGGTAAAAGATGCGAGTGCACATTATATTAAGTTGAAAACACATTGGAAATTTTTAAGAGGTCTGTTTTTGTTTAGAGCTTTGTCACATATATGAGCTGCGAAATGGATCACAACAATTGATACTAATAGAATAACCAATAATTTATAGGTGATGGGCCATTCCAATTCCCCTAATTGGGTGGCCTAAAATTTTTGGTCCCCCCACCTTTCTTGAAGAATGGGAAATGAAACTTTTGACGATTAATTACGTAGGAAAACATATTTATCAAGAAATGACTAAGTTGAGATAATAAACATGAAATTAAGAGGAAAAAACATGCTTAAAACACGTCTATAATAACTTATGGGAAGATTTTCTGCGCCAATTTGGATACCTTAATTTCCTTTCTCACTTTCTTGGTTCCTGGCTAATAATCAGTTTCAATCCTTAAAAGGAAGAAAAGGGTGCAAAGAGGGGCTAAGGTAGTTGAAAAAGTGCAATTTTGATTGCATAGTTGAAGATTTATTGCTTTATAAACCCACTATGCAAAGTCTCATATATTTGATCCGTGTCTCAACTCACGTGATTGATAAAATTTTCTACGACCAAAATGTTTGGCTAATTTCAACTATTGCATTTATCATTGATTTTTTGGAAACAACTCAGAAGGCTAAGCGTTAGTTGTTTTAATTTGACTTATTTATTGTTCAAAGACAAATAGAACTTAATTAAAGTGCGTTGAAGTTGTTTTGGAATGCGCCAAGTCATAAACTAACAATACTCGTATTTAACGTCGGAATTTATAAGATGCCAAAAAATTTTAAATATATGCGTAGAAAATTTTTATCCGTTTAATTTAAAGTAAAAAGGCAAGTATATTAATAACACGCTTGATTTATATAATTTTAAAAGAATAATTATTTTATTTTTATGATTTTTTAATTGATTTTTTTAAAAAAAAACTTTTCCAAATAAGTGATAGAAGTTTAAGTTTTATTTCTACACGTTTAGTGTACATATCAACAAAATCAAAAGAAAAGCTAAAATATAAATACATTTTCAAAAAATTTAAACAAATAATAAATTTTAAATTCATTAACAGATACTTTACACGTACGTATCGAAATTGTAAACATAAGGTTTTTTTCCTCGATTGTCGTTTTAATAAGAATAGCCAATTTTTTTTTTCAATTTAATTATTAAATGTCCCAAATTTCATCTAATTATTCAATAACAAATGCTAATAAGTATTTTTTTTTAATATTGATTAAGAAATAAAATTATTTTTTAAATGTTAATAATATTTTTAAAAAATGTTCTTTATATATATATATATATATATATATGCGCATGTGTAAAGAATACTTCTAAAATATATTTTTTTAGAAAAAATATTTCAACTTTTATAAATAATAACCAATTATATAAAAAGTGTATTAAAAATATAATAAAAAGAGTATATTCGAAACAATTTTTAAATTTTTAATAAAAAGTATAACCTTTATTTTTATTTTTAAAAAATAGTTATTAAAATTTTATTGATCTTATATATAAGAAATAAATACTTTCTTATATGTATTAATTACTAAGTTATTTTTATACTCTGTGTTAACAAAGTATTCTTCTTTCATCCATAAAATAGGATATATTCATTCAATTAATATATAGTTAACAATTTAATTATTTAATATTGTCATATTTTGAAATAGAATATAAATTTATAACATATAATTATTTTTTATTATTTTTAATAAATTAAGTATTTATTTTTTTATATAAATAGGAGGATAGTACTTTGTGATATATTTTATTTTTAATTTCTTTAATTAATATCCCATGAATGCTGATTAGCATGATTCTTATTTAAATATTTGTTTTTTATAAATACAACGACAAAAATAAACATACGTGTTTACTTAATTAAAAGTTGAGGAAGATTAATTTTAAGCTATTAAGTGTATGTATATATATATTTATTAGAAATTATAAAAAACATTATTTAATAATAAAATAAACAAGCCCTACGTCTATTTATTAGAATTTAATTAAAATACATCATCATTTATCTCTTTACTATGATTCATGTTTACTTAATTTTTGAGAGTTTAGATTATTAGTTTCGTTGATATAATTCAAATAAAAATTACTTAACTAGGACGTATAATAAAGTAATAAACTCGTAAGAATGATAACAGATACGTACTTAATGTATATCTAAAACAAAAGGTTAATTATGATCAAATTAATAAAATCTTAGACGTGAAGTGATGTATATTTAGGTATCATTCATTATTCTTCCATAAATGAACAGGCTAACTTGGAAGATGTAAAGCACAATGGAAACAGGGACAGGTACACGCTAAATTTATTTGATCAATCATTTTAATCACAGACTTTATAATTATTAGTGAGATAAAAAGTGGGGTTATTGCTAATGTGCTTTTGGGAGAGAGAGGAGAGAGAAGGAAGTGGTGAAAAGAAGAAGAAAACTGTTTGACACTGTTTGATAATGGACAAGACGTGTAGTCATAGAAAGAGAGAGAGAGAGATTAGAGAGGGGAACGAGGTTAGTTTCTGGTTGAACTGGAAGGAACAGCTTTGAAATTCCAACACACCAACGCAAACACACAAACATAACACAATCTCAAACCAAACCAACCCCAACAAAAAAAAAAAAAAAAACATCTTTGAAAAAATTAATAAAAATTTTTAGATAGAGAAGAGACGTGAACGAAGACCCTTTTTTATTATTTTCCCATTTCATTTTGCTTCTTCCTTCGTTATCCAATTACCAATTCCAACAATCTCTCTCTTCCTTCTTTCTACTGTTTTCTCTCTCTAGCTTTTGTTTTTCTCTCTCCTCAGATCTCTTCCGACGATTCCTCGGCGGTTTCTGGTTTCTCAAACAAAAACACCCTCTTCTTCAATCCTCTCTCTTCAATCATATCTTACATTTTTTAACCTTAAAGTTTCATTCTTTTTTTGTCATATATATATTTTTTCTTTTGATTTATGTAATTAGGTGAATCGTTTATTATTTCATTTGTGATTAGCAGCAAGATCATTGTTTATAGAGAAAAAGAAAACTGATTTTTCGTTTGAAGAAAAATCCGAAAAATTCCAACTTTTTTTTTGTCTTCTTTGTCCTATGTGCTGTTTTTGAACAAAAATTGGGAAAAAGAGGAAAATTTTGATTTGGGTTGGTTGCTTTTTTGGTGGGTTTGATTGAAATTTTGAACCTTTGGGCGAGGCAAAGGGTATGGAGGCACGTGTGTGAGGTTGTGGATGGTGGAAGAGGGTGAAGAAGTGGTGGCGGATTGAAAGGGGAGGGAACTTGGGGGGTTATGATTGAAGGTGAATTTGAAGAATTTTTAATCGTTGTGTTGTGGGTAGGTGCTATTTTGGTGTGTTTGGTGATGGGGATGAGGAATGATGCTCAGAAACAACAGCTTCTTCATCAGGGTAATAATGGTGGCAGAACCAACGGTTTCATTCCTAGCTCTTTTCGTGCTCTCTCTAGCTACCTGAGGATTGTTTCCTCTGGTGCTTCAACTGTAGCACGGTCTGCTGCATCGGTTGCTTCATCGATTGTGGATAGGGATGATGACCCTGATCATGATCAGGTATGTCCGAGTCCTGACTATTCTTTTTGGCAATTTGGAAATAGTTGCTTGCTTGGTCACTATGGCAAACTTGTGATTTTTGTTGAATTTAAATTTTGAAGATCTTGAGTGGTTTGCATTTATAGGGCGTTTATTTTTGGTTATTGACTCTGGCTTTGTGACTAATATGAAATCCTGATTATGTATTCCATTGAACAGTTTAGGTTTTTTTATCTAATTTTAGAGGATTGGTTTTACAAGTCAAATTTTGTGTAGTCGTTGTTATTATGTTGGTCCATACTAAGTTATTGAGGCATGGTGAGTGTTATTGCTTCTTCGGTTCATTTTGTATTTAGTAATTTATTTACTAGATTCTATACATGAATTTGTTGCATGCACGTCGCATGATTTTTTATTTATTTTTTAATGTGAAATTTGTTGAAGATTGTGTGTGATTTGGGGATAGAAATCTCATTGTTTGGCCATGTTAGCCTACTGTGTGCACTTGCTGAGTCAAGTTTGTGGCTGCCAATTTGTGAAGTTGTTGACCATGCATGTCTTGTTTATTATGCAAGGATGTTTTATAGAACAAAGTGTATTGAAAATGATGTAGGCTGTACTTCTTTGGTCTTTGATAATGTATCCTCATAGGCATAGAGGCACATAGCTGTGAGGCTAATGCTGTGGTTGGGAATGGTGATTTGGTGAAGTCCTCTTTACTCCTTAGAGTGGGTTTGAACTCCTGACATTGCAAGAAAAGTTCCTATAGGGTTATAGTCCACTTCAACTGCAACCAACCACCGTTGGTAGATGTGGGTTGTATTTAAGAAAGTAATGTAAAGTGTTCTCACAATTTGGATATGCAGATGTCTTGACACTTCAATATCATATAATTTGGTGGTATGGTTCTTTTCAGGTTTTTAGCTTATTATTTCTGCTAATCTTGTTGCCACTTGCCACTTGTCTAGCTCTCTTTGGTAGTTTGATGATATAAGAGTTTTTAGCTGCCAGTTAATATTTTGTTCATTTTGGCTAGAAATGTAGGCATATTTGGGTTTAAGCATCCTGGGTACTGAGGAATAATGACTTGTGTTGAATATGAGCAGGGGCATACCTCATGACATAATGTTATGGGTTAAATATTGGTCAAAAGGTTTTTTTGCATTTATATTTGGTCTTCTGATCAATTAGCAAGGTATCGACAGCTAATATATTTTCTTTGGCATGGTCATTCTAGAATACAGGGTTTTACAATGTTTGAAATATCTTCTAGGGCTGCAAATTTTACCTGGTTATGAATATCCTTTTAATTTCATTAACTTTGTTAGAAGTAAGCTCTATCTCTTTCTTGGCAATTATATCAACCATCTGCTTGTTAAGTAGTCATACAAGTGTAGGAAGTTTGTTATGTAAAGAAATGCTATTCTATGTTTTAGTGGCAAACATCTCATGGGTAGAGCTTGTGTATATGTATTTATTAGGAATTAATGTGCACAGTAAGGGACAAAGATTTGCATGTGTGATTTTGAAGGATAAAATTTAATTGATATGAACCATTTGGAAAGATATAGTGCTTTTATGTGTCTTTTTTCATGATAATGGAATTAAAAGACTTTTGTATGTGACAAAGTGGTGTAATTCCTGTTCTTTATCTGGGATTGAGTCAGTTAAATTAAATGTGATGTAACCTTGGTGTTTTCTTTTGCAGACATGCACATAATTTATACTGAAATTACTTTCATTTTATTTTTTTTGGGTGTGTGGCCTAAACTTATAGGTTTAGGGAATCAAAATCACCTTGCTTTTGGAATTAACCTGGTTGTTTGATAAATTTACCAATTAAGGTGACTGTAGATTTGAATAGTTTGAGCCTTCTTCTAAGTGTCTAGTGAATTGCTTTCATTACTAGTGTAGACATCAAGTTCTTGAAGTAATGTTTTATACACAAAGTTGGATCTGATTTCTTGTTTGGCATTTAAGATTTCTTGATGCCTTTTTTCTTCTTACTGAATAAATATACTTTATTTTCTTTTTACATTTTTAAACTTTTATTAAGGAATGATAAATCATTTTCAATTCTAAATTTATATAGGTTATCTGGGCTGGGTTTGACAAGTTAGAGGGTGAGGGTGAAGTCATTCAGCAAGTACTTCTTCTAGGCTATCGATCTGGCTTCCAGGTTTGGCATGTGGACGAATCAAACAATGTCCGAGACCTAGTTTCCAGACATGATGGTCCTGTATCTTTTATGCAAATGGTACCAAATCCAATCGCATCAAAGAGATCAGAAGACAAGTTTGCAAACAGCCGCCCACTGTTGGTAGTTTGCACTGATGGATTCTTTGCAGGAGGCAGCAATGTTCAGGATGGTTTGACGACCACCTCTCACAATGGGAGCCCTTCAAACTCTCATGACCAAATAAATGGAACCTATCTGCCAACTACTGTTCAATTTTATTCTATGAAATCCCAATCATATGTTCATGTACTGAAGTTTAGATCAGTTGTTTATTCTGTAAGGTGCAGTTCTCGAATAGTTGCTGTTTCTCAATCCACTCAGGTATACTTTATAAAATCTATACCAATTACCTTTAGTACATGCTTTCTTGAAGTGTTTAATGGAGTCATTGTTTTGCAGATACACTGTTTTAATGCTACCACGCTAGAAAGGGATTATACTTTACTTACCAATCCTATACTCATGAGTTGCCCTGGTGCTGGAGGCATAGGTTATGGACCACTTGCGGTGGGTCCGAGATGGTTGGCTTATAGTGGAAGTCCAGTTGCAGTCTCTAATTCAGGGCGTGTCAGCCCGCAACATTTGACACCTTCTGCAAGCTTTCCTGGTTTTTCTTCAAACGGGAGCTTGATTGCACACTATGCCAAAGAGTCAAGCAAGCATCTTGCTTCTGGGATTGTGACCCTTGGAGATATGGGGTATAAGAAACTTTCCAGATACTGCTCTGATAGCAATGGTTCATTACAATCTGTAAATTCTGGCTCTAAGGGAAATGGAATCATTAATGGCCATTCAACAGATGCAGATAACATTGGAATGGTGAATGCTGTTCTTGATTTTGTGTTGACTTATATATATATATATTTCACTGGAATATTTTTTTGGCTCAAAAAGATATGATAAAGCAGTCCATTAGGTATTCTTAGCTGGGTTGAGATAGTACTTTATATTAAATTGTGTTTGTTACTAAAATTGTATCCAGTTTCTTCCTATATTGCTTGTCCAAATCTTGTTTTGAACAAAGTAATGTCTTTCTAAACATAGAAGTTTGCTACATTTTTTTGTCTCTGGTTGTGAGTATTGTCATTGTTGCAATTTGTGCACTTCAACTATGATTTTATATTGGGTAACTTTGTTCCTCTTCTCATTCAGGTTATTGTTAAGGATATTGTCTCAAAAAACGTTGTTGCCCAATTCCGGGCCCACAAGAGTCCCATTTCAGCATTATGCTTTGATCCTAGTGGTACCTTGTTAGTGACTGCTTCGGTTCAGGGTCATAATATAAATGTTTTCAAGATAATGCCTGTATGTGAGAATTTGTCAGCATCTGATGCTGGTCCTTCTTATGTTCATTTGTACAGGCTGCAACGAGGCTTTACAAATGCGGTGAGTGAATATTCACTCCCAATTGTCTTTTGGTTTAATACATATTCATTTTCTTTTTCATGGTGTATCTACTAGCAACTGGGACCTCTATTAATTCTGTATTGAAATTTTCAGGTTATACAAGATATCAGTTTTAGTTATGACAGCAAGTGGATTATGATTAGTTCCTCAAGGGGCACTAGCCATCTATTTGCCATAAATCCTCAAGGAGGATATATAAATATTCAGTCTTTTGATGATAATTTTGTGGCAAAAAATAGTGCATTTGGTGCTACAACTAACCACACAGCTCGCTGGTCTCATAATTCAGCCATGCAAACACCCAGACAGCAGACCCTGTTTGTGGCTGGCCCTCCAATCACACTTTCTGTTGTAAGCAGAATTAGGAATGGAGCTAATGGCTGGAGAGGTACTGTTAGTGGTGCTGCTGCAGCTGCAACCGGTAGGAAGACTGCCCTTTCTGGGGCTATTGCTTCAACTTTCCGTAACTATACAGGCAATGGTGCCTATGTTGAAGGGAACACTTCCAAGTCAAAGTATCACCTGTTGGTCTTTTCACCCTCTGGTTCCATGACACAATATGCTCTGCGGACATTAACCGGTCAAGATTCTGCTGTTGTTTCGGGATTGTCTCCTGCTTATGAATCCAATCTACAGGCTGATGCAAGACTTGCAGTTGAGGCTATCCATAAATGGAATATATGTCAGAGTCACAGTCGCAGAGATCGAGAAGATAACTTGGACATATATGGTGAGAATGGAATTCAAGACAGCAATAAAATATATCCGGAGGAAGTAAAGGATGATAATACCAATATCCCTAAAGTCAAGAATGGAGTCATGAAAGTGAATCCCTGTCTTGTGGAAGAGCACCATTTGTATATTTCAGAAGCTGAACTGCAAATGCATCAAGCTCAGATTCCATTGTGGGCAAAGCCAGAGGTACATATTATTTCAAAATTAAAACTGTGCTTTTAATGTCCTATGCTATGTCCTTTGGCTTGACATTTGAATCCATAATCCTTTTGCCAACCAGATATATTTTCATTCAATGTCAAAAGAGTCTACCGTAATGGATGAAGAAGCTGCTTCAGGAGGTGAAATTGAGATTGAAAGGATTCCAACATGCATGATTGAAGCTAGATCAAAAGACTTGGTTCCAATTTTTGACTATATTCAGACTCCAAAATCGCAACAAACAAGGTATTGAAGAATGTGCTGCTTAATAACCCCAATTCAATTTTTTGAAAGGCTGGATTGCCACAACTTATGAGCTTGGTAACCTTTTTTGATGAAGAAAATTTTTCTTTGGTTTCTTTCCAACTTCATATTCTTGAATTTTCCCTTTATATATAACTTTCATTGTATACTTATGATATTGAAAAATTATGGTTGTCTTGTGTTATAGGACTTCTGCTATGGATAGCAAGACAAATGAACAAGTATTGCATCACAGTTCCACTTCTGGGCCATCAGGAAACGGCATGATTTCACCCAGGATTGTTTTGGGATCTCCTGTGTGTGTGACTAATGGTGGTGATGCTGTTACTGGGGGAACTGAGTGGGATAATCATGTGGTGCTGTCTGAAACTGCAAGCTTTGTAAATAACAATGACACCCTTAAACCATATAGTCAGCATGAGATTGTAAATAATACAAGGGAGCACTTAAACACGGAGGCTCAACTCATGTTTGTAAATAGTGACACAAGGCCTGAAAATGAAGAATCATTTTGAAGAAAATGAAGATGAATTTGATTGAAGGTAATTTATTCACCTTTGATTTGTCAATTGTCATATGTTTAGTTCCTATGTTTTTATAGCTCAATCATTTGTAATTCTTATATGAGCATAGTGCTTATAGGCATAACCATAAGAAACCTATGATATTTTAAAATAATGAAAAGACACATAGTCCTGATCATGGTTTTTTTATTTTATTTTTTGGTTAGTTGTGTGTATACGCATTATGCTCGTGCAAGAATTGTTCATCAACCGTATATATATTTACCTATTAATATTATTGTTTACCCATTTGTTTGTAATTGTATTTGGCTTTGTTCTTTTCTCCCCTTTTAAATTAGGCATGGAATTATTCTTTCATTTCGCACTGGAGGCTTAATTAACACTTAATATAATATGGTTGAAGAGGTAGAGAAGCTTGAAGAGTAGCTTGACTACGATGCAAAATTGTGGATACTATGATGGGTTTCTTTTTCTGTTGACATTGTAAATAACAGACAGATGTATATCAATAATTAGTTTTTAATGTGTAAATAATAGAATCACTTTGTATGTTCCCCTTTTCTTTTTATTCTATTAATTAAATTGATTACCCTATCATCCTGTATTATTATATTATTATTACTTTGTTGATTGAATAAAGCACTCTATAGGAAGGCAAAAAATTTAACGAAAGATAGATATTATAGTTACAAAATCCTTGTAATTTGTAAATTTAATATTCATTCAGTATGTTTTTCTTTGACAATTAAGTTCATTTTAAATATGTTATGTACTGCCTGCAACTTATGCAGAATCAAAATTTCCAACTATCTAAGTGCTTTATCAATTTAAAAAAACGAAAAGAAAGATCCAAAGTTATAATCTCAATTAGTGCCCGTCTGGATTATATTTACACTTTTGTTAATATCAGTCTTTGGATTAATTTTAAATGTTTAAAATCAGTATATTCCATTAAAAGTAATTGTTATACACAAAATTAAAAATGTAATAAGTACTTATATTTTTAAAAAAGTGTAACGTTTAGATACTTAAAAGCAACTTTACAAATCAAATGTTAATAATTTTCAAGTAATTTGCAAGAAAAAGCAGTAATATATCTCAAATGTCAAAATTCCCATTTCACTGAGTTTCTTATTAATATAGCCCTCAATATTCAGTCGGTATATCCCTGGAGATAAGACCTATACTTGATAAGGTAATGATTGATTGGGTCACGCAAAATATGAAATGTGATGTGACCAATGATAGTTCAAAGTAGCTGATAGAAAAAGAATATGAAAATTTAAAACAGAGATTACAGTTTAAGAGCGTGGAATATAAATAAAGCATAAATTTCTACAGAAGTGCTCCGTTACATCAACATCCATTATGAATGATGCATAAAAAGTAGGCATGAAATTGAAAGTTATGAACAACTTATGATTTTTATTTTTAAAAAAAGGTAACTAGTTTCCTTCTGGTCTGGTTGTTCCATATTCTCAGTTCTGATAAAAGAAATTAAACAAGGAAAGTGTTGTTGAAGCTTAAAAGGATAAACTTTTTTTATTATATTTTCAATAAAAAATCATATTTTTAAAATTTTAACCAGTACCTAAAGATATTTATCAGATTTTTCTTTTATAATTATATGCACCACGTTCTAGTTGTACTCTAATTGTGACCCTCATTTTGTCATGTACGTTTCCAATGAATGTCGTGTTCAATAGCCTTTCTTAGACAATTGATAGGCTCAATAAACTTTTATATGTATAATTACATTATTTTTTTATATCTAAAAATTATAATTTACATATGCATAATTCTAAATCATTTTATAATATCTTTCTATAAATTCTCTACCTTGTTAAATTAAAAAATATACATGCATTTTGTATTTTTGAATTATTCAATATATTCATATGTTTATTTAATTATTAATAAAATATTAAAAGAATTAGTAAGTGCGTATAATATAGAAAGAGATATAGCATTAGTTATTCATATATAACTTGAAAAGAAATTTGAGAAGATCGCTAGGTCTACCTTCTAGCTTGCCCCTAAGTGGATTTTTGGTAACAATTATTTAAGAGGAAATATTATATTAAGAGTTTTGCGATATATTTCATGAATTTTTATTAATATATTAAATAAATATAAATAGTAATACATACATTTATTGTCTTAAAAATATAAAAATATTTAATAAATTTGTTATCAACAATTAAAAAAGTATAAACATAAAGGTTGAGAGAGGATTTAAAATTATTGAGAAAAGATGCACTAAATCCCTGGTTGTGCTTGAGACTCTAGACTTGGTATTTCTTCGAATGCAAGTGATTCTTGAGGAATCTCTTTGAAATTGTGGTTGGTCCCTTTTGAACCTTTCTTCCATGGTTCAACAATCTCAATGAGAACCAAAGCTTGCGTCCACGTATTCTAACCAAAGATAACTTGCCCTTAATACAATAATTAGTATAGCTGGATTCTGACTAATTCCTTCAAGTTATACAAATTATCAATTACTTTACTCACACAAAAATTATTTATGTTAATCAATTCAATTTTAATATCAAATTCCTATTTTACAGAAAATTAATCAAACTAATTATAATAAAATACGTATACGATGTCACAAAATAATTAATTACTTTTTTTTGTTGTCTTAAAGTTATTTTAGAGTGTAAAGGAACTTGAGCATTGATTCTGTTCTAAGTTCATGTTAAAGTAATATTTTCTTGATACGTTTGAAGAGGAAACAAAACAATCACCTGTGGAAACCAAATTCAAAAAAACTTTGTTTTAATTGCGATTCTTTCGCTACTTTACTGTTTTTCTTATTGAGGCCATTTCTTTAGATTCTTTCCAATCAAATTTTGACCATTAATTTTATATTGAATAGTTAAGATTGGTCAATGAAAAAATAATTAGTCAATAAAACATTAAGTAATTGGTTATTTTCTTATTATAAACTGCTGGAGAGGAATTTATCTGTAGAAGATTCAAATCGTTTCTAGCAAAATTTTGACCATTAATTTAATATTAAATGGTTAAGAGTAGTCAATAAAAAATTAAATTGGACAAATTAACACGTGATTAATTAATTTCTTACTATAATCAGGCTGGAGAGGAATTTAGCTGCAAAAATCCAAATCAAATTCCAGTTACCGTTATGGCACTGTAAAAATTATCATTTACTAGTAAATAAAAATTTCAAATCTTATGATAGCTTTCTTACTTATAGTTTTTGTCTAACAAAAATTCAATTATTAGTGTAGACTTTATAACTTTAAACTAATAGATAATGTATTGTAAAATCATTTGATGTATTGATAATATATATTAATATTCCAAAATCTTAGAATTATTTGTTTATATAATATATCAAAGTATGAATATAAACTCATAGTATACTAATACTTTAATTTTTTGGTAATAAAAATTATACTAACAGAAATCAATCAATATTAAATTATTAGATAAATGAATTTATTTTACAGTCAACATTTGTATATTCTCTAAATTATTTTTCTAGCTTCATTTTCTAATGATTTTCTTTTTCTTTTTGTATCAAGTGTTTTCTACTACTAATTTTTTAATCAAAGAAATTGCTAGAAGGCACTAGACCAGCGTATTCTTATTGAGTCCGACATTGTATTGGGCCTCATAATACTAATAACAGTGGCTAGGCCCAAAATTCAACTACCCCATTGTTTTCTTCTTTATTTTCTTTTTTGGGTTCATGCAACTATAGTTAGAAGGGATTTGTATAAGATGCTTGCTTATGTATATTAATGAAGTCATATTATATATTTAGGTAAAAAACAAATAAAAATAGGGCCCAAAAGGCCTTTATAAATGCTTCAAAAGTATGGCTTGTTCTACCAAGAGTTGTTGAGAAAACCAAATGTAAAGGTTTTGTACTTAGGATACTTGCAAATAAAGTATCTGAAATCATAACCATGTGTGCTTCTCGAATTTGTGCATTACATGGTCAACAAGGTCGAAAAATTCCTGTGTTTTTGACACTTTACCTTTCTATAGCATAACCTGAAGTGCAAATTTAGCCCAATTAGTCAATCTTGGCTCCTGCAAATACCAAAAAGAGTGTCTTTAAAGGTTTGCGATGGTTGCTATTGAACCTTAGAATGCAAGACCATGATCTTGTTATTTTTATTTTTACTCTATTTTAAACTACATGATAAGCATATGGAAAAAGAAAAACATCAATTGTTCAATGTTATGTTTTAATTAATGTCGCCCATAAAAACAAGTTAAACTTTGAAATCTACGATACTTAGATAATTTATAGGAAGTTAAAGTAACACCAATCATGATGCTAAATCTCGTAAATTAGATCTTCATTTTCTTGATGTAATTTTTTATTATTAGTGGCAATCCATACTTATCAGTCATTGCCACATATCAGTTAATACATCAACTTCGAAGTTGAAATGATGGTCAATCAACACTTAATTTCACATACAATAATACAATAACGTTTGTTACGCATTATGTAATGTTTCACGTGGTATACTGGGTAATGACCAGCGCGACTCAGCGAATAGGCGCAAGAAAAAATTACCATATAAGGTGATTAAAAAAAAGAAAATATTCTCTGTTTTTCTGAAACAATCATAATTATTAATTTTAATTAATGAAGTTAATAATATATTTAAAAAAATATAAATATCATTTAATATCTTAGTATAATTTAAAAAGAATATTTAATATCTTTTTAAGTTTAGAAGTAACGTAACAAATACTTTTATTTTATTTATCACTTTTCAAAAAAAATTGAGTTTTATTTATTTTAAAAATTCTAAAAGTAGCATAAATTATTAACTTCCAACTTATGCCCTTATCAAAATAAAATACAAAATGTTAAACAACATATTAAAGATGTGCTGTGTAAGAAAAATCAAATTGTATAATATGTTATGCAGAAATTTTTAAAGTTTCAGCCAACTTAAAAGTTTCTAATTGTCATCAGCAAAAGTTTATATACTCTAATTGTCATACAGGGATGTGGATTAAGGTGCCAATACTGATTGGAATGTTGCAAACTAGTTTTGAAATTTGACATAGCAAACTAACTAGCCACATGGACCAAACAGGTATTTCCTCAAAAAGCATGGCCAATTGAATCCACAGAATTTGGTAGTAGGTGAGGAAATCCCAAAATTATTTTTTTTCCATTTCTTATCATTGTTATAAGCTGCCCTGAGTAAATAATGTAATAATATGACAACAACATACGAAATTGCAACCTCAAATTAGTTTCTTGAATTGGACAGGACAGGACAGGACAGGACTTTTGCACTCAGCCTACCCTTTATCATGTGTTTCCCTTTCTTGACCTTTGAAACAACACCAACTGTTTCCTACGTTTCACTTCTAAGAAAGTACCATGTCTTAGTAGAATAGGTACACGAGTCCACGTACCATAAGAATTCATGTTCACCAAATGTGTCATCATTTTTTAAATTCCAATTCTCCTTTTAACAAAAAAAGGTTACAAACATCAGCGGTTACTAATTTTCTTTTTGAAAAAAATGGTCCCACTTATGATACATGAACGATGAATAAAATTGGGTTGTTAAGTGACGTACAATAGCATTAGTTGGTTACTATTTATATGGGTTTGTACGCATTTTAGCATATTTTGTTGCATTTTTATAGGATGGCAGCAGAGCAAAACAAGGTTTGTAAGGAAATTAACAAGATGCAGTTAGGACACTACGTATAAAATTTATTATTGCTTTATAGAATACTTTGAGAATTTCAGTGTTGGTTGCTTTTCTTTTGTGAAAGAAATGAAAGAAGTTTTAGCTGCTTGATAATGATAAGACATAATTTTTTTTCACCTAATGCAAAATGCCAATTAATAAGTGAGTATGCTACATCTTATTATATGTTCTTACTGAATTTCTTAAATACTTAAATATGTAATACAAATATGCACACATTAATGTCTTGAAAATATAAATTACATTCAATTATTTTTTTATCTAACAATTAAAAGAATTTGTAAGAAAATGTTATAAAAGAATTTAGATATATTTTAAATATAGCTGTACAGCATTTTTTAGAGACAAATCAATAACATTGAATTTAGTCAAAGCAGCTTTCTCCAATTGCTAATTAACCCTTTAAGATATCATTTTCCAAAAACTCTCCTTACTTATAAAAGCTTAACAGGTTTGAACTACCTTATATTTTCCATATGCTTCCAAGAGAAATAGAAGTAACGTTTCCTGAATTTTCACTCCAACAACCGCATCCTCAACCCCACCCTACAGAGAGAGAGAGAGAGAGAGAGAGAGAGCAGTAGTCATTTTCCATATAGAAGTCCTTTTTCTGTCCTAGTCCAAACTCTATATACTAAAAAAGCTTCATGTGTAGGCAAACCAAAGCCAAACCCATAAACTATACACCAAACAAACACAAAATTTTGTATTTAATTTTCTACTGCTCTCTTCTCCCTCAACTTCCCTCCTTCAAAACCAAGCCAATACCCAAAACTTGAACCAAACAGCACCCTCCCTCTTAGTCCCATGTCTCTTTCTCCTTAACAACCACCCCAAGTTCACCTCAAAAAACAAATATTAAAGCCCTCAAACACCATTGACATGCCTAACCCAAATGCTAAGCAAGGTTAGGTGAAAGATAGCAACCTTAAACACCATCAAAACCTTCCTTTTCCAGCATAACCTGATATGGGTTCTTGCAGTTCTCCTCTTCTTTTGAATTGTCTAATGAAATAAGGACTATCTTTTGAAGAGGAGGAACTCATAACCCTCTTCTTGTGCTTTTTTTGGGGTTGCCTTGGCCTCATTGTGTTGTTTATATCTTTTTTGCATTTGGACAATATGCAGCTGCATATATCTCCAAGTTTGAGGCATGTCACTGTGTTTCCAGGCAAAGGGTTTAAGGAGTTTATCAAAGTGAAGGTTGCATCAAGGCGTGTTTCGTATCGGATGCTCTTTTATTCACTCTTGTTCTTCACTTTTCTTCTCCGGTTTGTGTTTGTTTTAACAGCAGTGGATGGCATTGATGGAGAAAACAAGTGCTCTACCATAGGTACACTATTAGTTCCTCTTACTATTTGTCACATACACTCACACACATAAGATCACAAACATAAACACGTAGAAAGACACAAACGTGCACAAAATGTGAGAGTTGATAAGGCTTGAATTTTCCATGTATCAAAGTATATTATTATATTACAGAGCTTTTAAATTTAATGGTTTTAAATAGCTCTTTGGCTGCACTCCCTCTCCTCGAACAAATCGTCAAAACTTCACCGACTTTTGATTTAAAAATTTTATAATTAATAGGACTTATTAGAAATTAAGGGAACTTGTAACACAACGAGAAAGATGCATGTGCATCGCTGTGTTCTTTTCCAAATCTTGGTCGATGAAAGTGTATACCAAGTTTGTCCATGATCAGGAATGTATTAAATCAGTAGTAAGATGCAATAGACGACATTACATATATAATATATCTACTAAGTGAGTTTCTTTATATTATCCTTTTTTTGTCAGAACTGGACTTTCCCTATCTTGTGTATTGTATAATTCGAATAGGATTGTCAATAGTTATTGTCGGGGTAAACTTGACCATCCATTCAAGATTTCCATTTTGAAGTAGATAAGGTACTGTACAAGTTCACGTGGACACTTGATAAACTTTCATGATCTTAAACAATGGTAATAAAAAATCAACGTCAGAATTAGCAAATTATAAATTCAAGCAAGCACATGATTTATTAAGGCTATAAATTATAATCCAGAAAATATGTTTATTATGTAAGTATATATGACATATTTATTAACTTCAAGCCATATTTGTAGGTTGCCTTGGAAAAAAACTAGGGCCAAGGATTTTGGGAAGACGATCTGAATCAACAGTAATCTCCTGAAATTCTAATTATATTCATCACCATCTTGATCAATTTTGCAAATAATTTCATCATAATCTTAATTTGGTGGCTGAAAGTGGTTGGCTTTTGATAGGTCCCAGAAGTGATATACCAAACGTTGGATGAACCACTTAGCAAAGATGAGCTTAAGGGAAGGTCTGATATTCCACAAACTTTAGAAGAGTTCATGACTGAAATGAAGGAAGGTGGATATGATGCCAAGGCATTTGCAGTTAAACTTCGAGAAATGGTACCATTCTCCTATTCTTTTCAACTAGAAGAAAATTAGTTTCATGCATTTCTTACTATTTTCCTGGGTGAAGTGTCCATTAACTATGAAGTTGAACATTTCCTAGATAACCCTTATGGAACAGAGGACCAGGATGGCCAAAATCCAAGAATATCTATATCGTCATGTAGCATCTAGCAGCATACCAAAACAACTTCACTGCCTTGCCTTGAGGCTGGCCAATGAGCACACAAACAATGCAGCAGCACGCCTTCAACTACCCTCCGCTGAACTAGTCCCTGCCCTGGTTGACAATTCATACTTTCATTTTGTCCTTGCCTCAGACAATGTGTTGGCAGCGTCTGTGGTTGCAACATCGCTTGTTCGCAACTGTTTGAGACCTCAGAAGGTTGTTCTGCATATAATTACAGACAGAAAGACTTATTATCCCATGCAGGCTTGGTTCTCATTGCATTCTTTATCACCTGCTATAATTGAGGTCAAGGCATTGCACCATTTTGACTGGTTGACAAAGGGAAAGGTGCCTGTTCTGGAAGCAATGGAGAAAGATCAAAAGGTGCGGTCACAGTTTAGAGGGGGTTCATCAGCTATTGTTGCAAATACCACTGAGAAACCAAATGTTATTGCAGCCAAACTACAAGCACTTAGTCCCAAGTATAATTCAGTGATGAACCACATTCGGATACATCTCCCAGAGGTAATAGTAATAGCGTAGCAAGTAAAGCTTTTATTGATAGCTTATAACAAAGTAAATCTTTAGTGTACGAGTGATGCTTATCGCCATGATTTCTTTTTCATAACAGTTGTTTCCAAGTCTTAACAAGGTGGTCTTCCTCGATGATGACATTGTGGTACAAACTGATCTTTCACCTCTGTGGGACATTGACATGAATGGAAAAGTCAATGGAGCTGTAGAAACATGTAATGGAGAAGATAAGTTCGTGATGTCAAAGAGGTTGAAAAGCTATTTGAACTTTTCCCACCCTCTAATATCCAAAAATTTTAATCCCAATGAATGTGCTTGGGCCTATGGCATGAATATTTTTGATTTGGAGGCTTGGAGGAAGTCCAATATAAGCAATGTTTACCATGATTGGGTTGAACAGGTACATGTATCTTCCATTCTACCATAATACTATAAAGAGAGGGGGGAGGGGGGTCAAACTACTTATGGTATACTTAAACTGTGCCATTAAAATTGACTTTCCATAGAAGTGAAAATTGATATAATAAAAGATTGATATTTCCGGTTTGCTTTATGCAGAATATCAAATCAGACCTGAGTTTGTGGCAGCTAGGGACATTACCTCCAGGATTGATAGCATTTCATGGTCATGTCCACATTATTGATCCTTTCTGGCATATGCTGGGCTTGGGTTATCAAGAAAATACAAGTTTTGCTGATGCTGAGAGTGCTGGTGTTGTCCATTTCAATGGCAGGGCCAAGCCGTGGCTAGAAATAGCTTTTCCACAACTAAGGCCATTGTGGGCAAAGTATGTTGACTTCTCAGATAAGTTCATCAAGAGCTGTCACATTAGGGCATCATAGCTTATATCTTGGGAAAACATGACCTTATTGATAAGTTGAAGAATTGGCATTTGCATCCAATGGAAAAAGAAAATGTGAGAGTTCTTCCAAGCATTAGGCCTTGACAACAAAGAGACAACAATGATATGCCATGATGCTCCTTTCATGCTTTTATCTTTTTTTGCCTTTTAACTCTCTTTCTTCAGTTGAAATTCTCAGATTCTTTTTCTCTTAAATTCATATTGTAACTACAAGTATTTGTAGATCATATAATATATATATTGAAACAACATTTTTTTTTTCAGGGAAAACAAACCTGCGAGCTCAAGTTTTTAACAATAAGCTTTTGTAAGAATCAGATTTAATAGAGGTTCAGGGGAAAATAGAGACCAAAGGACCATTTTATCCAATTTCATTTCAATCTACATATAGCAAACATCAGAGCTTCTTATTATGTAATTCAGATTCGAGCAGTCGTATCTTGGAATGTGTTTGGAATGCCGTCAAATCCACTTGAAAGAGAACCATTCCAACGCTAAAAGCTATAGCTTTTACGTTGAAATGTAGTTTAACGTGATTTTGATTAGTTTCTAAACACACTAAATGTTTCATAAGTATACGTACGCAGAGTATCAATAACTTAAGGCATAGTCCTCAAAAGTAATTTGGATTCTCATTCAAAATTGGTTGAGTACTACTGTACTACAACATGCTTACTTCATACAATGGTCATAGTAGAGCACCTATAATCACTGGGACATATTCACAAACATGTTCTACCACAATTAAAGTGAATCAGAGATCCTGAAGACCAATGCAACAGCTCCATTTATTTTTTCCCTGTCATATTGGATACCAATCCCCTGATGAACTTTGCAGACTTGGTTATGGGCGAATTGATAGCCATTAGATTGTACAACACATTCTCAACTTCACCAATGGTTGGCCTGGTCTTGAATGAGGAAACCACCTTCAGATCTTCTCCTTCTTCTACAAGAACATTCCATCTCTCTCCACTCACAACCCCATCTCTCGCACACTTAAAAATCACACCTTTTTTTTGGCTTAAGATCCCTCTCACCTCCAACCCCATAAAAGAATAAACCACTTCAAAAGAACCCAAAAAGCCACTTAGATCACCAAAGTTGTTCTCTTCCTCAAAAGCCCATTTTGGGTTAAACAAAACCACTGGCTTTGGATAAAAGGCATCGCTCACTCTTTTCATCAGTGCCAATTGGGAACTCTCTGGCACCAAAAATATTGCCACATCTGCAGAATTCAAAATTCTGGGGTCTGTTTTGGTCACTGAAGGAATGTCAATGTGTTCAACTTGGCTAGTTGAATGAGACTGAAAGGCAGAAGTGGCAGATTCTTTTAAGTTAGCATCAGGCCACATGATTAAGATCTTAATGGGAGAACCTTTTCTTTTGATGGGTATGTCCCCAAAAAAATCAAGAGCAAGTTGGGAAAGTGAATCCGGTGAGTCATCAATAACTGGAATTTCAACTCTAAACTTGGGTTGCCTTAGTTTCTTGAATTTACCTACTAGTTTGGGATTGTTGAGGGGTTTTTCTAAGGTTGTTGAAAGGGATGTTTTGGCTTGAACTATGGCCTCCTCCTTTGAGATGGGTGGATTTGGGGAAGAGAGTGAGGAATGGATGGATGAGGATGTAACTTTGAGGTGAACAGTGGGACTTGGAGGGATGCAGGACAAACCGCAGTGTTTGGATAGAAAATGAGTAGCGGGAAGCGGGATTGATGTGAACTGGGTATTGCAGTGTGAAGGCAGACATGGCGATGGGTTGGAAATTTGGATCGATTGGAAATGAGTTGTGTGGAGATAGGAAGATGCCATTTAATCTTTTAAACAGAGTAGCAAGGTCTAATAGCTCTGATATGAAACAGTTGTTTCAAAGCTTTATCCGGATAAGATATTTAGATGTTCCGTTTGATCGCAACCTCACAATAGTTTAACGAGTGGTGGAGAAGAATCTATAATAATTTATAAACCTGCTACCACGGAATGTCAAATATCAGATTTTAACGAGTTAAAATTACACGCACTCTACTTGCCGGTACTTACCCACTCCTCACAGTAAAGAAACTACCGATACTACAACAATTCGATTGCTTTACTCACATGCAACCACTGTTGTAATGGAGAAACTCACTAGTCTGAATTTAGTCCACTTTTTCCTCTTGAACGAAATATGGCCGCTACAAAATTGAAACTAACGCAGCATCCATACTGTACTTGACCTTTTTTTTCGGTCCAACGTTCGGATTATATCAAAAACAGTAATAAAAATTAAAGCAGACACGAAGACAGCCAGACAAGCTTATTAACATTTACATGCAAATACTAGCATTACTTCACAATAGTATCAGACGTCGAATACAGTCGAAGTCATCACTGAATCCAATTGGAAGACTTAGTAGATAACTGTTCAGGTAAGTTGTATGGGAAAAAAATACACATTTTTGGGCCAAAATATGAAAGCCCAGATAATTGTATAATGCCAACTTAGGCAACTGGCGGACGGAGTACATGATCCTGTGAGGTATCCACAGCTGCTGGAGGCATAAATTGCCACATGGAAACTCCTGGATAACCAATAAAAGGCACCAATTTGTTGCCGGGGGCTTGGCCTTGTGGAGCAAATGCAGCAGGGATTGCAGGAGGGGGTGCCAAGAAACCTGGTTGGGCATTTATTGATTTTACCTGCTGCTCCAACTTCTCTTTCTCTGCCTTAAGCCTCTGTTTCTCATCACGAAGTTCATTTTTCTCAGCCTACATTGTAGATAGCAATTAGATAGTATAATACAAGGTTTACATGATGTTTTGGTCACAGCAACGACAGGGTACTACTGTTAAGGCAGAAAACTTTTGGGAAATAAAATGATGTAGAATAAAGACCTCCCCGACAAGTCTTCCCATCTTAAGAAGAAAATTATTGAGTACAATTGGGACCTCACCTTTAGCTCTTTAATCTTCTCTTGAAGACTCATATTTGAGTCTTTCAACTTCTGAGCTTCGCCTCGCAACTGTGTCACCATTCGGACGGCATCAATCAGAATAGCAGCCTTGTCTGTTTTAGGCGGCCTTCCAGGCTCCAAGATGGAGCCTAATTCAACAAACCTATATATGTCAATCATATTAGTCATAGATGCCCCAAAAACACATCGACACAAAAACCCACAAGGAAAACGGTTATAAACAGAGGGATTAAAAACTTTACTTGTCATTAAGCCTATCCCTCCGCAACTTCTCCCGACAAGCCTTTGAGCTAGAAGCAGTACATGAATCAGATCTTCCTCTGAAATAGGAATAAACATGAGATATGGCATAACTTCATCCAAGAATAAATGTCAGGACCCAATCATCTTTAAACTTTTAGCAGGGGGAGAATGGCAAAGGAAAATTGGGGAACAATAATCTCACACTTAAGCAAGATAACATACATGCAATAGAATTTATCATGAAAATTTCTTTATTGATGCCGCTGAACTAATGCTGCTATTCCTTATCATCCTCGTTTCAGAAACCATGTAATATTGCCATTTCACTCAATTATATTACTTGTAACAACCTTCAGTTAATTGTCGACAAACCTATGACTAGCAAGTCTTTCTAAAATTATTCAAACAATTCAAGCCGACTTTTGATTTCAGTCTTCAATTGTTACATGAAATTTTTAAGGAAAAAATAATCAAGTTTAAACCACACAAGCCAAACAACAGAAATTGGGGAAAAAGAGATCAGGAAACAAAAGGAATAAAGTGCTAAGTGACTACACTTCATATGTTCTTTCTTTCACTAATTTTAAATGATTTGTTAATATGAAAGTAAATGTGTACCTCTTCTTCAAACCAGGATCTTTGAGACCATCAGAATCCCCAAGTGAGCCTTCAATTTCAACTCTAGGAGCAGATATTATCATCAGAACAGAAGAGCATGTTAGTAAATATATTTACAGCACGGTTCCGATTCTCATACTAAAAACTACAATCTAACATAAAGAACTACAACCAAATCAATTGCGCACACAGCTCAAATGTCAATTAGAAAAAAAGGTTAGATATCAATCAAGACAGGCTGCACAGACAATCAAATGCAGCAGCGCATGCACTCAAAGCAGTAATGAAACTTACAAAAAGAACGAATCCTGCAACAACTATTTGTGATTTTGAGAACGAATTAAAACCTAACAGCACAGTTTTTCCACAAACACATTAACTTAGCAGAACACGAGGAATGAAACGAAAACCCTAATAGTGGAATCAATACCCGACATTGGAGGGATGCGGGGGCCAGGTGAAGGCGGAAGCAGAGACGGTGAAGGAGGCATCGGGAACGGGAATATCGTCGATCAACGTGTAATCGAAAAGCCAATTGGTGTTTTCGGGCGAAACCATTGCGGTGTGAAAATCGTGAATTTTGGCGAGTTCTTCTTCTTATTATTTAATTTAATTTTAATTGATTATTTATGATTTGGTGAGAGAGAAGGATTTGGTTGGAAGCAGCACGTTTGAGGGTTGAGAGATAAAGAGAGGTTTTCGTTTTCTTTTTTCTGCGAAAAGGGGAATCTGCGTGGGAGTGTGATGTGACCACAACGATATATCAATGAATGACTCTCACGCATTCATAAATGGTAGCTCAAGCAGAATCAAATGCTTACCACTTCCCACTAGTCAACTATAAATGGTCAAGAATTTCATTTTATTTTTATTTCTTTTCTTTCATACAATATTTTAAAATATTATATATGAAAATTTTAAAAAAATTACAAAAACATATAAATTCAAGAATTGAGAAATTTTTGGAGTTTAATTAATTTTATACCATAATTATTAAAATTTTATATTTTCATAATTTTCAAAATATTGTATTTTATTATTTACTTAAAAAATAAAACATATTATGTAATCAATATTTTTAATATAATTAAATTTACCATTTGATCAAATTAAAAATTTATCAAAAAATGATTTTAAATTTTAATTATTTAAAAGCAGTAAAATCTTATTTTATAGAAATGTATATTTTGAAGGGTGTTTTGTTCCATGGATATTTATTACATGTTTTTTTAGTTTGTCTTTCTATTTTTTTATATAAAAAATATACTTAAATTTAAAATTTAAAAGGATTATTTCATCTGTTATAGTTATTTTGACAAATTTATACCCAAACTAATGGGGTGTTTAAAATATAATTTGGATATTAGTTATTTTAGAAAAAAAATGAGTTATTTAATAAAATATGTTAAATGATTTTTAATTAGTGTACAACTCATGAGTGCAGCGTTGACGGTGGTCAGTGATTCACTCGTCCAATTTAATTAATAAAATTTTATTTTTTTTATCGCATTCTTCTTTCTTTTTTATCTCTCTCCATATCACAGGTCTTATTTAAGAATAAATAAGACCTATAGAAGAAGAAGGTAGTAAATCCTCTTTTTGCTGGACTCGCAGCTTTTGTAATGGACCGCACCGTGCAGCAAGAGAATGAAAGAACAATTATACAATTCTTAAGTAAATTTTATACAATTATGACTTACGTTAAATAATATTCTTTAAATAACTAATAAATAATAATATTATTAAAAAAATTATGTGACAATACATTGATATTATAATAGGAAATTAAGCATATTGTTAATATTTTTATTTTTATTCTTTAGCCAATAATTTTAGAATTACGGTCAATATTTATCATTTTTATATAATATTTTATTTTGTCACATTAATTATCTCTCTTTGTTATACACTTTATACAAATTTTAAACAAAGAAATATGAAATAAGTGGGATTATGAAGTAGTAACTAGTAACTAATAACTTAAAAAAAATATCTACTAACAATTTAAAATTGAATTAACCATTATTAGTATAATTTTTTTAATGAAAATCAAATTAACAATGTAAACATTTTTTATCATCATAATCTTTTATATATAATATATTGTTATTCTCGTATTTATATTTTCTTTTATTCATATAATTAATAATTTATATTTTATTTTTATCCCGGTACTTTTTCTATTTCTTTATTTTCTCTTTATTTTATCAGTGTTTGAATATATCCTTAAAAAACTTATCTAAATTTAGTTGCTCTGGTGATTGGGGACATCACTCTCAATGCGTTTGCGTGGCCATAAAATGAAATGAAATGGTCTTTGCTTATGTCACATATTGCGTAGCCATCTAACATAGTGAAAAAGTAAAAAAGAGCGTAAAACGCACAAAACGTGTTGAATTAACAACGGAACACGTTTTCCTTTTATAGGACAAGGCTGCATTCCAAGTTTTCGTATAGATTTTATTTTCTCAAATTATTTTCAAATAAATTAACATTTTGTTTTTAAATTAAATAAATTTATTTTTCGTTAATTATCTTCTATTAAAAAATAAAATATTTTTCATTTAAATAAGACTTTGTGATTAAATTAATCATATAAAATGATTTAAAAGTTTTAAAAGTTAAATACTTAATAAAATTTTAAAACTTTCACAAAATGTAAAATCTACTACAGGCCGTAAAATAATCTCACTTGATAATTTACATAATTATATATATATATATATATATATATATATATATATTAATTTAAACTCAAAATTATAAATTAAATTGAAATAATTTTTATTAATTAATTTTTATGTTTAGTGTAAAATTTAAAAGAATTTTTAAAGTTATTTAAAATTTGATATTTTAATTAATATTTTTTTAAAAATAACTTAAAAAATATAAAAAATAAAAGAGTTAAATTATTGTTGGTATTTCTTGAATAATTTTTATAATTAATAATTAATAAAAAGATAGGAATGGAAATAATAAATTTAATGAATACTAATATAAAAACAAAGATATACAAATTAATAATTTTAAAAAAAATAAATCTAATGACTTTAAGAATCTACAAAATATAAATGATATAATTAAAATAATGTCAATTATTATCAAGCAACAAAGTCAAAATCTACATTAAAAAAACTATAACTTACATGACAAAATAACTTAAACAACTCTTTTATGCATAATATATATCATGAAAAAAAAAAAACTTGGTGCATACAAAATAATGCCAAGTTGTCCATACTACAATGGACCTAATCATGTATAATGATAAAGTTTTTTTTTTAAGTCATGTTATTTAGTAAAAAACTATTTATTGTTAATTTAATTTAAAAGATTAAAATACCAATCTATAAAAAATTTAAGATAAATAATCTATTCATGTTACCAATAAATGCATTTGCTCAATGAGCCTTATCCATTATATTTAAATATAAAAAAAACGTCTCACTTATTTTCAAAGTCACCTTAGACAGCGACAAATTGTTTGGTGAGTATTTATAGTTTTGGAATGGCCATTAATATTAGAAAAAATTATCATCAAAACTTTATTTTAAAAGTGGATATTGGAATATAATTTTACTTGACGAATTTCGGTAATTATTTTTAAGATGCCGATTAAAAATATCAATAAAAACTGTTTATTGTAATAAAAATATAAAAATTAGTTATTTTAAATAATTAAAACTTTAAATAAAATATTTTTAGTTAATACTTATCAACAACACTTTAAAAAGAATATTTGTCTAATCTAACTTTTATATATAATAAAACTGTCTACACGTGTATAACGAGGCTTATTCTTTTTAGTTTTTTTGATAATTTTTTTATTAAATTTAATTTAAATTTAATTTGAGTTGTATATTTAAATAAAATTTTTTATATATACAAAAATTTAAATCTAAAATTTTATCGAGACATTCAGATTAATTTTTATTAATATTTTTTAAAGTTTTTTTTATCTATATTTCTGTCACTTATATATATATATATATATATATATATATATATATATTATTTATGATTGTTAACTAAATAATTATTTCAGTAATGTGATTTAACGTAATTGATTTTGGAACTACGATTTCCGTAGCATACGTAACACATGGCAATAACGTGGTCCTATAAAAATTGGCCGACAAATCGTGAGTCAATTATTATGTGTGTGAACGGTGAGAAGCTCTAAAACACTGTCGAGTAAGAAAAAGATATTTTTTATTTCAAATATTATTTAAAATTTCACTAAAGCTACAAATTTTTTTTGCAGTTATCCACTCGTTGAATGCATGTCACTTTATGAGTAATATTTTTATTTTAAATTAATTATTATTTAAAATTGTACGAAAAGAGCAAAAAGAAGAAATTTGCCATGTACTTTTGATCCTTTTATTCAAATGATAAAATAGAGGTTTAATTTAAAAATAATATATCTATATATTTTCTTTTTATTCCGATATTTGTAATTTTATTGTTCCTTCATTATTTCAATTTAAATTTTTTATTTTTAAAAATTATTATTTATATATTTAAATAAAAAATTACATTCACATTACTACTTGAGGTATAATGAAACTTTACCTAATATTTCTTCTTTGTTTTTATATTAGTTTGATATTCTCTAATTTATATAACTGTATAAAAGAATTATGGGTAGATAATTGAAAAGTATGTGCAATATTATTCCATTATATAAGTTAAGAGATATTTGTATAAGATCAAGAAAAAGAGAATTATCAAGTAAAAATGTAATAAACTATGGAGATATGACTGTACTTTGCTCTTTTAAATATTTTTAAAATTTTATCATAAAATAGTTATTTACAATTTTAAAATAATAATTTTTTAAATATATAACAAAACTTATTATTTTTTTCCCAAATATCGAATATAAAATCCATTTTCACTTATTAAAATAAAGGGAAGGAATATAGTTGCTTCTATAAAATATTTAAGACTTCTTTTAATTAATAACTGTTTATAAAATATAATTATTGAACTAAAGTTTATAAATATATAATCATATAGTTAATGTTTGCTTTTATTTTAAAAAAATTATATTACATGTTAGTATCAAATAACTTTTAATATAGTAATTGAGGGAAAAAAAACTCTCAAACATTTAGATTTTAGCAACGGCTTGAAGAAAATTAAAATTGACATATTACAAATTCAAAGCCAAGTCAATAATTATACTCATAAAAAATTCCTCCCAAATAAATCATGGAACATATAAAATATTATCAAGTAAGTAAAACACATTTATAATACACTAAAATAAATTCTCACAATCTTCTTAGTTTGAATATTGTCAAGAAAAGCCAATATGCTATTTAATTAATCAACCCTTATAGCATAACAATATGTAAAAATTACAATCTTTCATTTTATTATTTATTGTAATTTAGTCAAAAGAATCATAAATGTTAACAATAATACTTGTCTCATTTTACTGGAACATTACCTTAAGAATCAGATAAGTAAACATTACATAGCACACATAAAACTTTAATGGCAAGTCAGTCTTTTATAAATAAATTTATTATGATTTTCAAAATAAACTCATACATCGCACTGTTGTCATATAACAACAACAACAACAATAATAATAATAATAAGTGGAAAATAATAGAAGGTTACCATAAGAAAAATCTCCTAATTTAAAGAGTATGAACACAAATTTACCGTAAATGAAAAATAGTGATGCTCGTTTAATTAGAATAATATACGTTCCAATCCAATTAGGTGGTATGCTTGGAATGTTAAGACAAGAAAGAATATTAATTATAAGAGAAAAATGTCGTCATGAAGAAATTCCAACCCAAACTAAAATACAAATACCATTTACATCCAGCAACTTTCCATGTCCAAGCTACATCACATAGCCACCCAAAACATTTACAAACAAGCCCTGAACAAGCCAGTACTAAACTTATTACATTGAATATAAAACATCTAGGAAATGATTCCTAGTACAATCACTCTGGCGAAGTCCTTGATCATGTGCATGGTTCACACAGATTTATAGGTAGGAGTTGAGTGAATAAACTCATCAATCCTTTTCCTTATTTCATCAGGATTTGCACCCACAATTTTGTCCACAGGAGCTCCTCCACTTAGCAATAGAAATGTAGGCATGGCTTTAATTTCTAACTTGGAGGCAATTTCCTGAATAGGGGCCACATAATTAATGCACATAGTGGTAGAACAAAAGGGGTTAAGACATTTATGAATTCCACTCAGTAAGAAGTTATGCTAATAATTCTTTCTTTTGAACCAAGTATCTTGGTCCTATAATATCACATTATTAATTCGTAGTTGGAAGCTGGAAAATATCTTTTAATTTGAAGGAAAAGGAAAATGGGGATCAGAGAGTAGATACTATAATTGCAAATTTGTTCACAATGCATTAGGCAAATAATGATTATCTGCAAAAGGGTTCTGTTTAATATATTATAATCAATAGTTTCATTATTGTAAGTTAAAGACCATATGAATATTTTTTTTATTGAAGATTAGATTAGAGATAAGCTTTACTATGATTGTTTATACACGCAAGGACCATGTGAACTCAAAGTGGGTTTTGGAATCCGAAAATGAACAATTTGGAAGGATTTGTGTGGACACCCTTTACTTGATTCCCTCTGGATAACATTGCGTGTTTCTGCATATTAGAGGAACAGCATAGAAATAGATGGATTGAAAATAGCAGATTTGTGGTTTATGAACTACATAGTTTAGAATAACACCAAACCAAGCGTAGTTTTAACAAACAAATGTGGGTTTGTTTGGGAATTACATTACCTTGACCTCATCCACATCCAATGTCAGAAATAGAACATTTTGATAGGTGGAGGCCAATTCTTGAAAAAAAGGATTCATAACTATAGATGGCACGCACCAGAAGGCAGTAAAATGAACCACAACCTGAAAATATTCATAAAAAATAAAACATAGTTTAGAACAAACCTGTGCTACATGTCCAATTGTTCAACCTTGATAATCTTTGAATCTGGTTCCTTAAATAACCAATCGTGGTAAAAAATAAAAGCGAACTGATTTATATTAAACGAATTTTTATAAACATAGGAGACTCACAGGGTAGTTTTGATTGGTAGCATGGGAGATGTGGTGTTCCCATGATTTTATAGAGTCTATTTTGATAACCTTGGACTTTTTGAGCTGTTCCTTGTGCTCCATTTCTTTCTGCTGTTGCTGCTTCTTCAAAAGGATGCAATATACACATATAAATAAAATGCTCAGGGAGGAAATATGACTATTTGAGCAGGGTTGTAAAAGAAAAAAATTCTGATTTTTATCCTTTTCTTAATATTTTTGTCCTTTTGAATAAGTCATATTTTAGATTGATGTATACAGGATACAACAAAAATAGTCTAGCTGGGACCTCTGCTGTAGGCAATTCAATGGTCATGGTCATGTGGTTCATGCATTGAATAAATATAACATAAATTGCCACCTTTCATTTTCTACAAAAATTAGTGAGGATAATAAAAAATATTTTATGAATGATTAAAATTGACAATCAAAAGTTGCTATATTTGATTTTAGGGGCTATTTCCAATTTGTTAGCTTTTATCAACGACTCTAAGCAGGTTCAAACGCACACACAAATTAAGATTAAATTAAGAAATATTAATGGCTCACAATGCTGACATAATATACATTGAATAATAATAGTTTTTTTTTCTATTATTCCTATAGATGTTTCTGCTGGGGAGGATGGACCATCTTTTCTTTGTGGGTCACTGTAAATTGTCATTGCAAAAATACAGGTTCTATTATTGTTATCATCAATATATTGAGGAAAATCTTATAATTTAGTTTAAAAATTGGGTTTTGTTTGTTTGGGGGATGATAAAAATCTTCAAGAACCAGACGAGACAAGCCAAAATTCATATTAAGTAAGGGAATCTGGTCTTTCACTCTTTGGATAGAAACAGCCAACAAAAATCTTGAATCTTGTGGCTTCTCATTCATATGGGGAACTAGCAATTTGAGAAAGTGCTTATCATGTCATTTTCATGGCTAATATCTACAAAATCTCTTCATTTATCACTGTTAACAATATTAGATGAACGACAAGATGCTCATTTTATTTACGCACTTGTGTCAACATGACTGGGGCTTGTGATATGTAGGCCATCCTTGCTATGAAAGTCTGAACTTCTTATGTGGTTCTAAGTGTGAAAAATATTGTGTATCAATTAGAGCCTCACAAAATATGTCAATTTGCCCATCCAAATGTAGGGTTCAAATATTTGAAAATTTTTTCTCCTGTTTAATTAAGTTTGTGTGAAAAATAGCTTCAATACAAGTCAATTTATATAAACCTGTTGTTTGCTATTGTCTATCATTATTGTTATTAACAATAATAGTAATATATTTTTATTATAAATTGTAATCATGCAGATTAGTCTCCATAAGTTTACTATTTGTATAAGGATGGACTTGAATCACCATTTTATAAGCTTAAAAAATTATTATTTTTTTAATTATATATACCTACATAAACCTACTACTCATATCAAGTTAGGAAAACTTGAATTGACAACTCTAATATCAACCTATTTAAATTACTAAGTGACAGAAACAACTAATCACTGCTACAAGGTGATTGGGTAACTTACCCTATCTAGAAATAGAACCAATTGTTTAATTATTCATTAGTTATTAATTTTACAATATGTTTTCAAGTACGTTAAACATAATTAACACACCATAAATTCTTTATAAGACTTTTTAAGTATTGTCATGAAAAAGTTTAGCATTAAATAATTCGTGTTCCTGCCTGTTGAAATGTTTCTGGAGATTGTGTTTGAATAAAGCATTTCAAGGGTATTTTAAGGGTGATTTTAATTTTGTTTGGGGAATTTATATTCTCTCACCACCATATAAGAATTTCAATTGCCTTATTAAAAGTATATACTTTTTATTTATTTTTTCATTGCGAGTTTGATTTTGGCCAAAAAAGTATTGGTTGAGTCACATAAACAAAAGTATTACAGAAAATTTTACATCCTCAAATAAGTTTACCTGATTTTATTCAAATTAGTTGGAATTAACTTATTAACAACAAAGCAGAAATAGAAAGAAAAAAAAACTTCTTAATAAAAAAATTTAGTTGTAAGAAAATTTGTATTTATGTTAGCTTCCCTATATACATGATAAAAGAAAATTATTCAATAAGAAAAAATTAAGCTTCTAGTGTCACAAATAAGAGCTTCAAATCTATAAATTTTATTCACATTAGAGAGCAGCAAATGGACAACTAATTAGAAATTTATTTTCACTAAAATATTATCATATTTGAAGTTTTTGACGAGACGCAAACCCAATAAAAGCTCTAGGTTACAAAAATTCTTCCACAAGCAATTTTTCTTGAGAGATTCATCCAACTTTAGGAATCTAAAACAGCGAATCCAAATTGAGAAATTGTATTGAAAATTGTATTTTTTTAATTTAATTTTATACACAAAATCTTATTAATCTATCCAAGATAGAGTTATTTATCTCATGTGATAATTTAAACAAACTCAAAAATAAATTAATAAAGCTCCATATAATCACAAATCCAATTTTGCAACTTGTAGTTATAATCTTAAACTAAACAGTAAACAATATTTCATAGATCAGAAATCCTTGCTCGAATAAATTTTTGTTTAATCAAGTTTATAATCATATATTTTACTTTCATCACGTTGAAGTAAGATACAATTTTTTATGTTCCAGTTGAAGTAAGATAGATAAACTCGAATTGTTATTGTTCAATCAAATGAGAGGCTTGTTTGTTCAGAGTGACTTTTATGCTGGTCAGGATTGGCCCAAAGCATAGGCTTGGGCCACAATGAAACATAGCCAATAAAGCCCATAAATATAAATATAGTGAAATTACCAAACCATACCTTTTAAGGATATCCTTTAATGTGGTATTCAGTGGTTAGCACTTGCCAACGGATATGACAAAAAAATTTATTTGGCTTTTGATGAACTATCTTTCTTTCTCATACCTTACCTTACTCATTTGAGTTCCATCACTATGGCTCCTTTGACAAACTTGCATGGAGTCTCCAAAACTTTAGTTCCCATCACATGCCTTCCAAATGCACAGAGGAACTTAAAGAGAGGACTAGTAGTTGGGTCTGTAGGAAGCAAAACACAGGAATCATCACAATGTTCAGTTGAGACTACAAGAAGAGCAGCGACAATAGGCCTTGTCACTATAGTTCTTACAGCCCAATTCAATGCCAAGGTTTCATTAGCTAAAGATAATGGGTTCTGGATTGAAGATCATCCTCTTCCAAGACCAACTGTCACTAACAGTATGTTTTCTTGTTACCAATTTGTACATCAGTTTTTTTAACATGTGCCAAGGATACATGACAAGAAATTAATTAAGAAATAAAATTGTAACGTTTAATGTTATCAATGCATTGAATTCTGAGATATCTTGTTATTAGTAAAAAATTATTATACATGTGTTTTTATTGTGTGCCTGGTACGCGTAAAAACAATTGTTTACATATAAATAACTGTTAAGTAGTTCTTGGATGCATGCATACATACCATATTGTACATGGTAAATAAAAGGTGTTGAGATTTGGCTTTCATTCTCATGTTTGATTGATGATTCCTGGTCAGTTATAAAAGGTGTCCTTGAATTCAGTTATTATTTTAACATTTAAAAATTAATCTTATATGCCATTTCGTATATAATTTATTTTATTTATACATTCATACATCTCAAAATTATTCGTAAAAATCTTAGGGAACAATATCTGGTTGTCAATTTTGCTAGTTCATGTGCATCCTGCATTTTTCAGGATGAAATAATTATTGACTACAAAAATCAAGAGTTTACATTTTAATAATATCCTAACTTATTTTATATGTTCTTTATATTTTATCTCAATATCAACTGTAGAAATTTTAATCAACAATTATTGTGTGCTTTATTCTTTAAATTCCGGTGCAAGAGGAGTCAAATATGGTAAATTTTATCTTATGATGTGAATATTTATTTTTTGGTTAGATATTGCAAATGAGAAAACGGGGACACGTTCTTTTATTAAGAATGGACTCTACATGGCAAATATTGGTGTCAAAGGAAGCGTGTATAGGATTAAGAAATGTGCTTTTGATCTTCTGGCTATGGCTGATTTGATAACAGAAGGCACACTCAACTATGTGACGAGGTACCTAAGGCTCAAGTCTACCTTCATATACTTCGATTTTGACAAGGTTATCTCTGCAACTCCAACTGATGATGATAAGCAGCAACTAACTGATATGGCTAACAAACTGTTTGATAATTTTGAAAGGGTATGGTACACTCTTTTTTTCTTCCCTTCAAAATGGTGTATGTTATATAAAGCTGCTGGATTAACATTGAATTTGTGATGCAATGACAGCTTGAAGCAGCTACAAGGAAGAAAAGTTTAGAGGAAACAAAATCATGCTATCAGGAAACCGAAGTTATGCTTAAAGAGGTCATGGATAGGATGAGTATAATGTACAAAACAATTTGACATGATTATAATCAAGTTGTGCTACTATTTCTCTTGTCAATATCCATTTTATGTTTTTGATTAACCATGTTGATTCCAAGAGAGGGATACCCATCAAGAAGATAGGAAAAATGTTATTAATAGATTATTGCATTCAGCAGAATTGCAAATATATAGTATGGTTTCTTCAACAAGAATTTCCACAAAGATAAGATGTAGTCCGAAGTCCATGTCCATATTTTGTGTCAACTATACTATATTTTCAATTATAGATTGTCTGAGAACGAGAGACTGAAATATGTATAATAATAATTAGTAATATGAAATTATGAATGTATATAACATTCAGAATAATTGCAAATAGAACTACAATAATGGGCGTTTTTTTTAATAATTAAATGCATACATAGTAACTTCTTTACTATACAAGCTATATGGATGATGTTAGAATTGGAGTTATTTTGGTTACTGTAGTGATCACACACAGCCGGCAATTGATTGCTACAAATATGTTAAACAATATATATTGATTAATGTATGAAAAGATCAGAAATAGCTCAAGCGAGACTCTATGGGACGTCCATTGGTGTGACGGCGAGGAGTTCCAATTTCACAAGCATTTACTCTTGATGCAAACCGAAGAGAGCATAGTGACTCTCCAGCTGAAGCATGGTCAGGAGAGATGTTCACAAACATTAATGTCTTTGAGTCGCCACCTAGACAAGGCTGTTCAACATTGTATTCAACAAAAAAATTAGATCACCTCAAATTATTACAAGACCAATCTCATGCATTGCAATTTTTATTAACAATCAACATGAATTACCTACGGTCTCTTATCTTTTTAATGTAACTTAATTTATGGTATAATTTTGGATTTGTCTATTGTTATTCTTGGTTAAGTAAATTTTGTCAAAAATACCTTGTAGTAGGATTATTTTACATAAATATTGCTTCAATAAAAGTGACAATGGAGATACAGAAGAGTGATAATAGAGATACTAGTTTTAATTTTGTCACTAAGTAGTAAGTAATGCTTATCCTTCATCAAGGCAAGAATTTCAGCATTACTATGTGGAATTTAACATAGTAAATACTAAAGAATATTTTAAAATATGAAAAAAAAAATCACCTGAAGTAGATACGTGAGCTTAGAGTTTCTGAATGGGATATGATCCTCCTTCTTGGCCAAGGCAAATATAACATCACTTAATGATGACAGACTTTTATTTATTGCCTAATTAAAAATGAAAGAGTTTAGAGACAATTAGAAATCAAATAAGGAGAACTATATGAAATAGCAGACATCATGGCTTTTGCATACTTGTGTTTCTTTCAACCGGTCCCCGGATGATCCACTCCTTGAAAGACGCTCACTCCCAGCAAGATCAATAAGATTTAGAATACCTTGTACTTGTTGGTCAGTGCTCTGGCAGAACGACAACATAGGTTGCAATTGATGTATGTTAGATTGCTAGTGAGTGTATGAAAATTGATTCAATTATTATCAGAGGAGAAACATCCATACCTCATTTACACCATATATTCGAAGAGTGAATACAAAATGACTTCTTGAAGATTGTTCATTCATCTGAGTTTTTCCAACAGATCTAAAAGAAAATATAAAGAAAAAGAAGTTTAGTTGATTGAGAGCCAAAGGCTAAGTATTTTAACTTCCACAAGTGAATACATTAAAATATTTTGTTGCACTAGAACTGTGTCAAATTTTATGTTGCCAAAATTAGTAGCTCATTTCTCTGGATCCTACGTAAGCAACAGATAGATACTTTGAATACATTAGAAAGTGCAACATAATGTATCCATATAATTGTAAGTTCCTTCATTGTGTGTTATTGTAGTGAATGCAGCCAAATAGAATAAGCACTAGAAGCCTATAATGGAACCTTAGGACGTAATTACCTGCTATTTGCAGCTTGATTTAAAAGAAATGCAACCTCTTTTACACTCTGAACATCTACTACTGTGAGATCAGAAACATGTGTATTTCCACTGGCATCATGTTTGATTGCGTATTGCTTCCCAGGAGTACCATTTTCCGTGCGAGTTGCATCTAAAGATGACTTATTTGTAGATAATAGATCACGAATGGTTTCGTTGTATATTTCCAACATTGACACCTGTCAATTTTTATGAAGGAAAAACCTTCTTAGACCTCAACATGATCCTTAAAATTTGCAAACATTGCAATGAAGATGAGTGAATAAAGAAGAAAACACTATATCACCTGCATTTCATATTTCCAGCCCTGGGGTTGCTGAGATTGTTTTGTTTGAAAAATTTGCTCTAGTGAACGTGGTATTAAGCCCTTTTCTTCAGGATGTCCGGGCCTGCCCATCATTGTATAGGTTTTCCCTGAACCTGTCTGACCATAGGCAAAAATGCAAACCTGGAAAAGAAAATGTTCATCATATTGTATAGAATCCTCAGAGTTGGTGCCAGACATGTATGTATACAAATTGATTAATATGCTTATTATATATCTAAAGTCTTGTAGTTCTTTTCGCTCTCTTTTCTATATCTGACTAGCAATTGAGCATGCAGCTATGCATAAAAAATAATTTGAAATGATATACCAGGAATAAAAGACAATGACAACAATCAAGCCTTTTTAGCACAGAGGGAGACCAATGTAAGGAATAAAAGGCTTACTTAGAAATTACCTTATAACCATCAAGAGCACTTTGCACAAGCTGTGAAATTTCTATAAATACTTCTTGCTGTGATGCGTCAGGTGCAAAAACTTTATCAAATGTAAAAGAATGTTTTTGGCCTAAAAAAAAATGTCAACATAAATTACAATATAGCTTAATGATGAACTATGACAAACATCCACCAACTCAAAAAAGAATAATTTTTCAAATCAAGAAAGAAAAAGAATAATTTTCAAGGATAACATCATGAGATATACCACTTTGAGTCAATTCAATGCCTCGTCCCAAAGCTTCCATTGATGTGGGATAAGATAAAACCTTGCCTTCTGCACCACAAGCTTCATCAGGTAATAAAGGTCGCACTCTACAGAACACCCGGATGTTACCCTTTAGTTCCTGTAACAGTGGAGATTAGTAGAGAGTGGATTTTGTTTTAAACTTTCACTCTCAACAAATTATGGCTCAGTGAATTACCAAAATGGTATTGTGTAATTCTTTCCTCAGCTTCTCCCCTTCTATAACTTTATATTCTGCATCAGCCAAGCGCCTTTGCAACTCATTTACAAGTTTTTGTTGCCCTTCAAATTCGGTTCTTGTTTCACTTGCAGATATATCAGAAACCTGTTAAGGAACCAAAAACCGGTATATCGTAAGTCCAATAAGACTTTCTTTACTTCTAAGTTTATCTCTCATTCATTACCTGCAGTTTCTCCTCTGCAGTTGATAGCTGCTCTTCTAGAGCTTTTATCCGCTCATCTTGCAAAGAACATTTTGCCTGTGCAGGAAAGCCATTGTCTAATGTTATTATTTAAAATAATAACAAGAGGATTTGATATTTACCAAAAACAAAGAAGACATAAACCAACCTCCAGTTCACTTGTTCTTGTACTCAAAATGTTTAGTTCAGAGCAGGACTTTTCTGTAGAATCTTTAGACTTTTCTAACTCAGAAGTTAAAGTTTGGACTTGAGATAATTGGCGATCCCGATCATCTCTCACTTGTTGCAACTCTATCCGAAGAGATGTGACTTCACTAGCCAAGGCATCTTTCTGTTTCGTGGCCTCTTCTTGAGAAGCCTAATAAAACAACCAATGACTATGTAAGATACCAGTTGCATGTTAAGAAGATTGGGTTACTAAAATTTCAAGGATAGTAATCATAAATTGGCTTTTCCTTAAGGTTAAAATTTTTAAAATAAAATAAAACACACACAGGAGATAATAAATGCATATCATATTATCTCTTAAAATTCCACAATTCTTTTTCTTACAAAAATAATCAAATTCATTAAGAAAGGAGATGCAAAACTACAAAATTTTTAATGATCTACCAAACTTGCCAAGATATATACTCTCTCAACTCTGTAGCCCTTCCCACTAAAGGCTATTATGATATCTTCGGGGCACTCTGATTAAAAAACCGAAAAAATACTTCTCGCAATATACCTAAGATCAAGCGGTTTCTGCTAATGCCCAGCTTACATATGAAGAACCACACAGCATCAAGTGTGCATAATAAAATCTACACTTGCTGAGATCGTAACATCAAGGAGGGAAGAAAAAGCAGGGCCAACAATGAATAAAGAAGTTTTTTTCAAAAATCTATCATATACAATGTATTCTAGAAGTATCTCATTTTTATCTAAACATCCCCATTAGCCAAAATCAAGAATAACTTGGTCAAAATATTCTTCCCGACCATCTATCCTCGTCAACAAAAGGTACACTACACATTTCTGAGATTTTTAAAAGAGTTGTAGGCATCTAGTAAGATTCCTAGTATTTCTTTCTTATCCGTGACTACTCAAATTCTGAATTGAAACAGTTCACACTCCAAAGCAAACTCACCATAGACAAAGTAAGTTGACCCTTTAACATGGTAAGGTTCTCGACTACAGTAGCTTTCTCTTTCTCTACACGCTTAAGTTCATTTTCGACTGTAGAAAGCTCTGAATGAAGGTTTCCATTGTACTGCTGTAAGCTTGTTATGTAATCTTGTAACCGCTTATACATGTCATTGAGTGATGATATCTGCAGAAATCCATTGATGCAGACATTTGGTTATAAGAATAATTCCTGACATGACTAACAGTATCAGATAAACAGTAAAAAGAAAATTTGAATTGAGATAGTACTGTTATTTACCTTCTGATTTGCACTTTCGAGCTCTCGTTGTGCTCTCCCAAGATCCTCTGATAGTGTATTCTGTGACCTCTCAAAGTTAAGCCTAGCCTCTCTCTCTTTAACAAGAGATTCCATGGCCACCTAGTGTTTCCAAAGATGATAAAATGCATTAATTTATTGTAAGTATTAACCTTTACCTTCCATTTTGCACAAAAAAACTAACTCCTGAAATTCCACTTACCGATTTTTCCGATTCTTCCTTCACTAATTTCTCTTGCAAAGAAGTGCAATTCCTTCTCATTTCCACAATAATTGAATTCAGTTCTTCTTCCTTGATTTTGAGTAGCAACTCTGCAATTAAGTGTATTTAACCACATCAGTACAGAAACTCGACGAAGACTTTCCAAATTCAAAAGATAAAAATGAAAGAAAAGTAATCTTTACCGATTTCCATGCATTTTTGCTGGGTTAATTCCAATGAATTCTTCAACTTTTCTTGCTCTAGTGAGTAGTTTATCTCAAGGTCTTGGAACCATCTGATGCAAACCTTGAGCCTTTTTATATAATCCATCATATTTTCACATCTTTCCTAGAAATACAAAATCTTATGTTAACACGTGGCAATGGTAAATCAAGCAGTAATTAAAGTAGCGCTATCTGCCATATATACGATTACAAACTAACTAAGCTCCAAATCCTGCACACAAAACATGATATGCCCTTTGATCTCAAACCCAAATAACCAAAACAAGCAGCCAATAAACATACATAACAAAACTCAATGACCACCAAGCCACAAACTTTAACAAACCTTATAATTAAATCTATCCTTCCTTTTGGCCTTTTCATTGAGCAAGGCCTCCACATCCTCTCTTGTGAACTCTATAATGCCATAATCTGAGCCAGCATTGCTTGGTGGAGTACTACTGGGGCCAAGATCGTGGCCACCATTTACAACTGCAAAAGCTGGCCTTGTTCTTCCGTTAATTGGAGTTCCCACCATTTCTTTTCTCTGCTCCAACTCGTTGCTCTCTGTCTATGAGGAAATCATCACCCACAAACTTGGAAAACTACAACAAAAAGATCACTTTTTTAACCGTGACTTTGCACTTGCACCCATCAAATGTGAAAGGGAACAACCCGTGACTGAAACTGAGGTGAAAATGGAAAGCAAATCATGGGAAATGGGAAAAGGGAGTACCTTTAAACCTTGAAGGAGTTGAGGGTGTGAATGTGAGTGATGTTGGAGACTAGTTCTAGTTCAAAGTGACCATTTTGAACCTCACCTTCACCACTTCTACACACTACTACTGAGAGAGAGAGAGAGAGAGAGAGAGAGACTAGTACTGTGGGGCCATGGATTGCATTGAAAGCTAACGATATCAAAGGCAGTTGCTTTAGCAAGAAGAGATTAGTGATAATCCACACACACAAGAGTATAGAGAGAGAAGAGAAAGAGCGAGGAAGTGGATCCTTAAAAAGAAGAAAAGAGATGAAAATAGAAAAAGGTATTATTATTTTTATCATTATTATTATCTTTTTGTTATGTGCACTTCCAATAGATTGTAGATCTGTGTTGTGTTGTGTTTGGTACTGTTTGTCAGTTGGGTCTTGATTTAGATTTTTACTGCTTTTCATTTTTTAACTTTAAAATCACCTGTTGCCCATCACGTGTAAGATTCGTCCTCCCATGCAATTCATTAATTACACCCCTAAAAAAGAATTATATATATATATTTATATATATATATATTTGTTTATCGGAAAAGAAAAACTTGAGTTTACTTTGAGAAAAAAAATATAATTTAAATTTCATAAAAAAATAAAAAGACAATGTAATCTATCCAAATATCATTGTAACTATTATTAATTACTAATAAAAATTAATCATTTTTATTGACTAAAAAATATCATTCAGAAAAAAAAAAAGGTGTAAGTACATCCAATACTAACCATGCTGATTGCTTTTGTTATATAATAGGTGTTAGATTGAAAATTATTAAATACCTGTTGTCAAGACTTCGACAAATTGAAAAGGATATGTCATAAACATGGGCAATATAATTTTGAAGACAATGATGGTTTGGTAGTCCTAAAGTCACCTTAAGGAATAAGAAATACGTGCAGTGTGCTTATTTAAATATGAAAGAAATACGAAAAGCTGAGTTCAAAAATTCTAGTAACATTTAACTAAAAAACAGTTGCAATATACAATCTTCTTAACATAATATTATTTTTTATTGTTGAATGAAATTCTGTGAAACATTAAAAAAACAAGAGGTTCAGAGTTTTAATAAAACATGTATAATATTTATCTAATAAAAAACATGTGTTATTAATATTGTTCCAAATTGATTTTATGTAATACAATACTTCAAATTTGAGAGCATATTGACCTTTACAATTCGCTAAACTACATACGACCTCTTGTTATTTTAATATTTATTTGGTTATGATTTTAGAAAGGTAGCAACGATATACAATAAAGTTGTGTAAATTATTGAGTGAAGTATGATTATCGTGGCATCTTGCATTGAAAAATAAATTTTAATGGAAAAGAGTTGGATGAAAGAAAATTGGAAGAAATAAAGGGGAAAAAATAAAAGAAAAAAGGACGTTTATTTTAAATAGTAAATTTATCTATTTATATAGATATTTAATATTTATCATTACATTAATAAGATATAAATAATATTTAACATTAACATATTTTTTCATCCAAAGAATTACTTTTTCTTTATTTTTTTACCTGCCCCTTTTTTCTTCACAGCTAAGGAAGCTTAAAGGCTATAAACAAGACAAGAATATTGTTTTTTATTTTTAGTACAAAAATAACATAATATTATGTTTAACATTTAGTCATACTTATATCTATTAGCATTTCTGTTCCATATGATTTGGGAAGAAGAGCCATATTTGATTAGAAAATGTTAGATAGTAAATCCAGTTGGGTCCAAATTAATTTTATCCACAAATCTGCAGGAGCAACAGGACAAGATTAGTGACACAAATAAAAGAAGTCCAATTTAATGTTCTCTAACTGAAATATAGGAATAAAATTAATTACCATTATTCATCCCACTGCCATAGCAGGATACAAAAGAACTTCATCCAAATACAAACTTGTTTAGAAATCAGCAATTACTTTATGTTGCGTCAGAAAAGAGTTAAGAATTTTCACTTTCATTTGCCAGAAAAAGTGAATAACCCTGTTTCCTCTGCCAAGTGCCAACTTAATAGAATAGAAATAGTGAAAGGAGGCTCCATACCTTCCCACATGACACAATTAGTTGTTGGAGTTTCCATTCAGTTCTTGGTACTCAGCTGCATTCTTTGTCCTTTTCCTATGACCCCTTTAATTTTTGAGGCTTCTTCTTCAACTATGCTTATTGAATTGACTCATCCTCTTCTCTCTATGCACCAAAAAAAAAGTTTTGTCCTATGCGTGTTGCATTACTACACTAATAGTGCACATCATTGTCCATGTTAATTAGAATAAAGCTAAAAATTCTTGTGTCACAATCTCACTCTAGATGTTCGGATCTTGCCCTTAGGCAGCTATGGATTGTCGGCAAAAGTTATAAGGGATCAATCAATCACACACCATTTGGTCTTTGCTTTGCACAAATTCTTAACATGTGTTAGTCTGTGTTCACAAAAATGAAAATGGGTAGGGAATTAATCTTACAAGTGATTTTAACCAATAATGATAATTTTCCTTTGCTAGATTATTAAGCAATTCAGTGCTTGATTCTCAAGTATGTGTAAAAGTTAATTTCTCAAAGCTGACAACCAAGTCTTTGTTTAGATGTAGAAACATATATCAGTTAGGTAGGATAAATAATAACTACATAATTGTTTGGTAAGTATTGAATATTATTGTTCAATAGAGTTATTGATCTACCAATAATTATTGGCATTGTAATTATCATTTGGGTGTATAATATACAAAGGACTAGGTCGTATGGTTATTGCATATAACAAAGGGCACCTTGAAATAATTTGTCGGTTTATAAATGATGTAGCATTATTTTCTTGATGTGGCTAGTTGACTTTCACATGATAGAATAAACTGAGTTAGGTTGTTAACTTTAATTAGCTTCTATGGTTACTGTTAGTTTAACAATTCCAAGATTGTATGAGAAAAAGTGAGTGGACTAATTAAAATAAACTCAATTGCAGTGATTTTTAATTGCACTTGCAAGCCTGCAGAAATCTACAACAGTGGTTTCTCCAAGTGTCATGAATTGAAGATTATTCTGGAACCTAGTACTTAACAATTAAAGTTGGCTGAACCTTAGTTGAAATGACCTAATTGAGTCTTGGAAGCATATTGGTACAACCTGATTGTTTTGGTCTGATTGGTTTTGTGAAGGGTCTAGACTCTAGGGGAACCTGGAGGGTAATACCAACATGAAATTCTCTGTTTGTAACTGTTTTGACTGGTTGTCACATTAGACACTTTGCCTCTAATTTTTTGGGGCTAGTCCTATGTTTTCCTCTTAGATTTATTATAGTAGTATATTTATATCTTAGTACTTGTTTGCATAGCAAGTCAAAAGAGTCTGAGTTTGCTAATAAATCAGTGTTATGGTAGTTTTCACTAAACCATCTAAATCAACAATTAAGATTAATGTTTTAAATATAGATTTGTGCAAGTTATCCCATTAAATAAAGAATTTATTCTAAGTGAATTAATAAAATTAAGATATTATATTAAAATTTACATTAAATTTTTATTTAATTTTGTATAAATAAAATTTTATTTGTATGACAGACTTCAAACACGTCACTAACTCATAAATTACCTTTTATTATTAATTTATGCAAAAAAAAATAATGAGAACCGAAACACACTATTAATTTACTTAAAATGAAACTACCTTGTAAATTTTACAAACTCTTCAAAGATATTGATGACATTTATATAGAAATTTTACAAACGGTAAGGATATTTTATTATCTTAACATAGATTTATTGCATTAATATCAGCAAGGGGATGTAGCTCAGATGGTAGAGCGCTCGCTTAGCATGCGAGAGGTACGGGGATCGATACCCCGCATCTCCATTTTTACTATTTATCATTATATTTTTCTCACTTGGAACAAATGTAACTAACACTTACTTTAAGTATGGTAAAAATAAAGTAACATTTCTTTTTTCCTAAAACTTCTGCTGTTGATTATTTTACAGTTCGATTTTACACGAGATAGTTGAGCTATCTCTGTCTTTATCAGTACAAGCCATTAAATGTGTCTTAAGAAGTTGAAGGCTTACACGAAACTATGTTCAATTAATGTTATGTACATGTTTGGGGAAAATGCCTTTGGGACAGTTATATTTCATATGTTATACGTAACTTGGTCTTTTTGGCCCATTTGTTGCATAGAATAGGAGCATGCATGGGACACAACTCATAAAAAGTTTAAGTTGTTTTTGCTCGATAATTGCTAGATTGCCTTGTTTTTCATGAACAAGTGCCTACATAAGAGATGAAGTTTCATTCTCCTTCTAGCTTTTTTGTGGGATGTGTTAGTGAGAGTAGCTGTTCAAATTTGTTAATTACCAGTGCTTCTGGTTCCTTTGTCCCATCCTCATTTCGTTACACACTTGATATATGTTTTCTCTTGTTCTAGAGAAATGTCAACTTATACACTTTTCATAATTATTTGAATTAGGAAATTGTCATTTTTCTTGTAGAGATTTTTGGCTTCCAATGAATCTGGTAGTTCTGTCATAATAATTTGGTCCAATCCCTCATCAAAATGGTCATTATCATATAAAAAGAATCGGGTAAATTTAATCATTTTTTTAACATATATCAAGGTACTTAATAAGAAAATAATAAATAAATAAAATTATTGAAAATATAATACTATATATTAAATTTAGTAATGTTTTATAGTTTTAATAAAACTTACTGTACATAAATTTTTATTGCTAAATTTCATTGATGAGAGTTAATCATGGTAATGGGGCTTTCTTGATTGCACGGTGTGTTTCATTTTTGTTCCCTTTGTTGTCACCTGCTAATTTTCAATGCTTAATTGACCATCATGTTGAATTATTGCCCCACGTTAAATAAGATGGGATGGCACTGAGAAAATTGCATGATAGAGTTTAATATTTTTGGTAAAATATTTATTAACAAAACAATGCTTCCTTTAAGTTGCATGTGGATATAACTCATAGATAGAGGATAAGTGGAACTAGGTGTGGAAGACACGTTTTACTAGTTCTAATTGCATTGTTCAATTCCACTGTCTATTCTCTAAGAAGCCCATGCAAGATATAGGAGTAGAAAACAGATATGTCCAGCGGTGCATAATCTCGTTTTCTTCTACCGGTAAAACAGCTGTGGGACTATAATTTCTTTAAATGTATTGAAGCTCACATTCAACAAACAATAAATTTTTACAACCAACCCATTAATTCAGACATGAATGTCATTTGAAATATGTGTATACACAATTGAGTTGTCATGAATATTATGTAATTGGACTTAAGAATGAGTAAGTACCTACTTTATCTATTGCATCATGTTCCCTGCACGCATGATGAAACAAATGTTTATGTAACTTCTAGTGCATAAAATTTTGGTAGTGTTATCAAATGCTATTTTGTTGCCTGTTCTTCTGAAAATTGGGGATTGGTCTTCGCTTATACACAGACTCTGTCTTCTTTACTGTTTTTCAAATGATTCTCACCAATTTGTTGTGTTTCTACAGAAACAAAACAAGACCCACTATTTTATACCTAGCACTGAAACAATGTTCCTTGTTTTCTTCGCATGTAACGGTAAAGACGTTTTCAACTTTTTTTCTATGTATTTTCTCTGAAACTTGAAACTCTCAAAGGAAATTTATGCTGTGGTAGTTGAAGAGGATGGAGATCAGGATTTTAGACATGATATTGCATTGGTTATTCCTCATATTCCTCCCAACTTTACTATATAAGTAAAGTCCTTTGCTCTGTTCTTTCAATGATCACTGTCAATCAAATAACAATTAATAAACAGCTTAATATTAAAAAAAAAAAAAACACAGCATTTTATACATCTCAATTTTCTTTTTATTCCCTTCTTTTGATATATATCTATATATGTTTTACATCATCCTTCTCATGCTGACTGATATTAGGTTTATACTTGAGAGTTATAACTTTTAAAATGTTTGATATCAATTTGCATCGAAGTTGCTACTAGACTGTGACAAACTCTAGTAGCTCTAACCTGTTATTCTCTTGAATTTAAACTGCTTCTTCAATTGGTTAAGCCACATCCTTTCCCTGAGAAAGATCACAAGCCTGTTGGCTCTTTGGAATTCGTATTTCTAAAAATATGTCATTATATATATATGCTTCTATATTCTTCCAATCTGCATCCTCTGGCATCTCAAGCCTTCGTACATATCCATATTCCCACCAATGGCCACACCTCCAATCACTTGAGTCTCTTTGCTGCTTCCACTGTCCACTAATTTCCACAACCTTCCCTTTATCAACATGGACTTGAATGTTATTTTTCCCAGTTCCTGTTTTGACAAACCACTGGTGTCACAGAAATTTTTACTAGTTAAGCACTTTTCTTATTTGAATCTAAGAAAACTTGGCCTCATCCACTTCAACCGGGTCAAGTTCATTTAATTGGTTTGTTCATTGAAAGATCCACTATACAATAGGTTATTTTTGCCCTTTGTTACTATGACCATGTTTTGACAAACAAATTAATTAAACACTTATTCAATAAACTCTTATCGCGTAAGAACTTATGACATAAATTTGATCATGAAACTTAATATGCTAAAAGAACATATTTGGATTAGTTATACCATTAAATGTATTGGAATAAATTAAAAAGAGTTTGTAGAAGCCATGAGCACTTCCAAATGCCTGCTATAATCTGGGAAAGAAATTTTTTTTATGCAAATTGAAGGCTCTTCTTGTTTCAAATAATGATGCCAGCAAGATTAAGGAATAGTTCCTCCAGTTCTAACATCCTTTTTAATTTTTTCAGGTCTTGAAAATGATGAGGCAGTTTCATTTTAGTATCATACTTTGTTTAACACAAATTCAGTTTACAAGAGTAAAATGGAAAACTGTTTGTCTTACCTGGTATTTCTGCTTTTAGTATGTAGCCTTCATCTGTCTCATGCCAATCCACAGTGCTTTGGCTGGAACTCTTTAGATGAGACAACAAAACATCTGACTCAAACTCCCACAGAGGGAAGGCATCAGAAGGATCAAAGAACTTCCCAAATAGCATTGGACTGAAAAGTGATCCATCAGCAAAAACCTTATGCACTGTTGGATTAGTCTGGCTGAAGAATCTTTTGAAAATCTCTTCTCCTAGTGAAACACACCATTTATGTGGAGTTTGATCTTCTGTTTGAACTTCAAGCTTCTTGTTAGAACTAGTCATTGATGCTTAGAGAGACTGAACAATTGTGAGTCTGGTGTAGAGATAGTTTTATGGCCTTTCTCTTATAGTGTGAAAGAAGCTATATGATAAAACACAGAACAAATTCTTTTGGCATATTTGGAGGCTGTAAAGCTATTAAAGGAATATTTTCTTTTATGAACTGTTCTCCTTTCTAGAGAGAAGCAAAGTCAGGCATATTACGTATGGCTAAGCCTATGTGGTATCCCATTGCATTTTGGTTGTTTAGCACAATATGTGAAAATATGGAAAGGGCAACTTATCAAGTCAAAGTCTTGTGAACAGTGATTGATGCTCTAGCAGAATCTGAGAACCCTTGTAGAAATGCTTTGGCTTAATTGTTTGTATTATAATCATTTATTCTTGTGAAATTCTAGTCATTCTTTTAAAATGGTTACTGATTTATTTACTTACACTGTATATGTTTGGTTAAACTTGTTTTAAATAAATAATGGTTTACTTGTATCATCTTTATAGAGAACTTACAAAAAAAATTATTATTTCTCTAGAAAAAAGGTCCCCAAATATCAACCTCGTTCTATTTGTTACATGAATATAAGATGATTTTAAGGACTTCAACCTTTATCTTCTATCTTCAACTATAAACCATATTATTCTTCCACGAGTTTGCTAATCACTGAACTAGATAATTATGTGGAGCAGGATTTGTTCTATTCAATGAATCATGAATGTTTATGTTTATTTGCTATCTTGTCCAAACTCCAATTGAACATTACTGTTTTCACAGATTGAGAACCGACAAGCATCAAATTTCTTCTTGTTTTTCTCCGCCAAGATACTTTTCAGCTTTCTTATTAAACTGTTTATCACGCGTCAAGCATTGAGAATTGATGCTTTCTTGTTGTCGATTTTTTTCTCTTGCAACAATTGTGCATAAAAAGTTTTAAATTTTCTAAGGAGAAGTAATAAATTGTTTCCATTTAACAGTGTAATTATAAATTCTCTTGCTGGCATAGATTTTGCACTTTGTGGAGGTCAAGGTCTCCTTCCCAGTGATAAAAGTTCTGAATAGTAATATTCAATTTTAATCTTCTCAAAAAGAGTAATAAGTCCTTTCCAATAATTCTGTAATTGGGTTTTCAGTTATGAGTTATCACCCAAATCCATGGCATTAACTCCAGATTCTTCATGACTTGCCTTTCCACTAAGCAAAGTTGTGTGAAAGGAATCTTGATTCTTGCATGCCTTGGAAGGAATGGATGTCTATTGTCTTGAGAACTTTTATCACGAGAGTAATGAGAACTTTTATCATAGATAGTTAAAATGTTGTTGCGTAATTAATGTTTTAATCTTAATTATTTAAAATTAAATTTAATGATTAAAATTTATCTTTATCATTCTCATTCACACGTTAAAAAGTCTTCTGATTCAATACATTCCTTGTATATACATATGTAGGAATAGATCCAATTAGTGCAGTAATAAAAATTAGTTACTTTATTTAATAATTTTTTATGAACATTGCAATATCATCTTCTTATTACAAATATCAAATTTTAGATAAATTTTATTTTAAAAATTTATAAAATTGATATGCTTTCTGAAAATTTTTAAAGCAATGATTAGATTAATCCAAATTGATATTTCTAAAAAATTATGCAGTGAAATAAGTTAAGCAAAACTTAGAATAAGGATATCTCATCCCTTCCTTGTCTGTATACATGATCATTTTGTAATTTGTAAAGGTCATTGAGCTTTTGACCACTGGCAATGAGGCATGGGACATTGTTAATCATTCATGGGGCATCTCATAGACTTGCTTTTTTTGCAAAAGCAGGGTTGGAATCTACTTGATGGATGTTAGAATTTTTAGCACATCAAATAATGAAGCCACTATGGACGGTGGGTCCTTTACCAGCAGGGCAATGCTGATCATATTTGCAGTTTATTATCTTTAAATTAGGATAAGCCAACTTCCACCAGCTACCTCTAAAATATAGCAGTTGGGAATAAATCATAAAGTTGTTCAATTACCAATTGGAATTATATCCTTCAGTACAAAGGGACTATTTTTCATAAAGTAATAAAGCACTGTTCGGCTGAAATGTAGAGTATCGTTATTGCTAAAAAAAGTTCATATGATTTAAAAATTAAAATTATTTTATGACAATGTCAAATAATAAAAAAGTTTTAAAATAATTCAATAAGACTTTATTCACTTCAATACATAAGGTTGCTAAATTTAAGTATTTAAAATAATGTTGTTTACCAAATAAGTAGTGAGCTATTAATAATTCCACGAGTCAATACTGAAAAGATCAAGATGTACACTGCAATTTACTAAAAAACATTATTTGCCTACCCTTGATAATACTTTACATATTGAATATTAGGTATATGAATGTAAAGTTGACACATGGTTTCAATTTTTTTTATGTTGTGTAAATCATGTGTCATTATTAAAAATATATTAAACAATGTCTTTAGAAGACTGATTAAAAAATTAAAAATACAAATATCTTATTAAAAATATAAAAATATAAAAATATATTCACTTCTTTAAAATATTTGTAACAATTTTTAATAAATTTTTTATTTCTTAATTAGACATTAATTAGTTAGCAATACTTATTATTATAATTATTATTATCACGTGACAATGGTAAATAAAATGTTGATCGGATTTAAAGCATATAAATAAAAACCCAAATATAATGGTACAAAATAATGTTTCTACACTCTAGGAATTTGCACATAAATAGAACTATATTCAACTGTCCAAATTATTTTTTACCAAAGGGAGAAAAATACTGAATCTCAATGAGCAATGCCTTCATAATTATGTTATGAGTGATATAACTAAAGATAGAGAGAAAATAGTAAATCTCTTATTTTACATCGGCTCATAAATGTTCATGTAATTTCCATAAAATTAGAAAATTTGTAAGAGAAAAAAAGATTTGCAGAAGAAAAAGAAAAAGAAAAAGAAAAAGAGAGATGAGAGAGAGAGAAGCATAAAAAAAATAAGTATGTGTTTGAGAGTAGTTGCCAATTTCCTAATCCAGAAGAATTCATGGGACGGCCCTTTGATCATAGTCCAAAACACATGAAAAAACCATTCACCAACTTCATCGCTGTTACTCATTATTCTTACCACAAAAAAATGGTCACATCTTAACATTTCATGATCAAAAGCATGGCCTATTTGCATTGATCCAACATCATACATTTTTTGGCTACTTTCCTAGGATCTTGTGTCATGCAAATAACACTACAGACCTTTTTTTTTAATCTTTCCCTAAAGCTTTTCGTTAGCATTTGCATTGAATTTCAATGTGCATGTGCCAGGACCTATTATGGGATGTTATTCAAATGGCTAAAATTTTTTGGAGCTATTTTTATTTCTTTATGGTGGATTTGTATTTGTTGTTATTATAATTATTACCTTCTATCGAAGGTGATCTGATTCAATAATAAATTGGCAATTTTGAAGGGTAGTGAAAAAGGTTTTTGTTTGTGCTTATTGTGTTTGATCCCATAATTGTAGCTTTGGCTACATCCTCGGTGGGTATCGTGGAATTTGTACCTACAGTAATAGGAATAGAATTGGGTTGGCATTTGTTTGGGGGAAAGGTTATAAAATTTTCTACCAGACTTTTGTGGTAGGAAATAGACTATATTTTTTTAAAGATAAATACACTTTGAAGTTCAATAGTGTGGACATAACTTTTAACTAAAAAATTAAAAGATTCTAGACTTCCACACTTTAACAAATCACGGACTTGTAAAATTATTTAAGTTCTAAAATCCTATTGGAAGATCTACTTTTCAAAGACTTTTTAGAGGGTCTAGAGAAGAGTTTTTTTATGCTGAAAAATTACATTTTTGAGTAGTTTTTGAGGAATCATGAAAAGAGCCTCATTCTTTTTCAAGAAGCCCATATTTCAAGCAATTTTGACAGAACATAAAGAAATCCATTTTTTTATTAAAAAATAGGACTGACAAGAAAATTATTCGAAGTTCACAAGACTGAAGGCTTTTTCAAGTAGTTTATGATGATTTTCTATTCCCTAGACTAAAAATAACTAAAACTGATTAAAAAAAATGACTTACAAGAAAATTATTTTATGTCAACAAGACTGAAGGTTTTTCGATAAGTTTTTGAGGATTTTCAAGTCTTTGATACCTAGAATTGGTCAAAAAATAGAAATTGAGGGAGAAATTGTTCTAAGTTCACAAGACTGAATGAACTCTCAGAATTGGTCGAAAAGTAGAAATTGAGAGAGAAACTATTCTAAGTCTACAGGACTAAAAGAGCTCTCAGATTTCTCCCAGAATTAGTCGAAAAATAAAAACTAATGGAGAAATTACTCTAAATCCACAAGACTAAATGAGCTCACAAATTTTTCTCAAAAATTGCTTGAAAAATAGGAACTTAAGGAAAAATATTTCAAGTTCACAAGAGACAAGATAGAACTCAAAAAATGATATCAAAAGAGTTACAAGCCTCAAAGTAGTTATCAACGATTACCATCAGTGGAAGGTTCAAGACACAAATAAAGATTGTGGGCGATAGCAATTATGGAAGAAGCCCCAACCAACAATAAAATCATAAGCAATCGTAGATAATACGCAGTAGCAGTTGAAGGCAAGCATGTATGGAAGACAATTGTTGAGAAGTGTCCGCGAAAAAAGGAGATTGTGGGTGGTTTATTTGCTTATTAATACTACAAAACTTTACATTACCAGAGACCACTTTTTGCACCTAAACATTTGCACCCAAAATCTCTGCATGTTGAAGCTTTGCACCGCACCAAGCACTGACTACAAGGAGATACACAGTTATTGTAATTCTTTACTAGAAGTCGTACGTTATTTTTCTGCACATTTATGTATCTGCATTTAGTTTCCAGTTCATTTTACATTTTTCTATTCTTGTAATTACATTTATGCTCAATACATTTCTATAGACTTTTTATGTTTAATTCATTTCTACGTTATTACTGTTCACTATCCTTATTTAATAATTTGCTTCACGACATCCAT